AATCTTCTGATCCGTAGTCAGACGCGTTATCCGTTGCGCCACGAGGCCGTTGACTTCAGTGATGAGATCGATATAAATTAGCATCATGCTCATACTAGCCGTTTAAGCCGGACAAGTATTCATCTAGTTGTGCTCGCGGGGGTTGAGCTCTGGCTCTTTCTTCCCGCCTCTCAACTGGTGTACAGGTTCCTGAGCCTATTGGGCTCTATCATATCTACACTTGAAACTGTGTATGGGGTCAGCCTCCACCACATCACTGCCTAATGCATTCCATTTATCTACTACTCTGACACTTAAAAATTGTTTTTAATGTCTCTATGGCTCATTTGGGCACTCAGTTTCTACCTGTGTCCCCCTAGTGCGTGTCCCCTTGTGGTAAATAGTCTGTCTTTATCTAACCTATCATTTCCTTTGAGAATCTTGAATGTGGTGATCATGTCCCCCCTAACTCTTGTGTCTCCAAGTGACGTGAGGTTTAATTCCCGTAGTCACTCCTCGAATCTCATACCTCTCAGCTCGGGTACTAGTCTGGTGGCAAACCTTTGAACCTTTTCAAGTTTAGTCTTGTGCTTGACTAGATATGGGCTCCATGCTGGAGCCGCACACTCCAGGATTGGTCTGACATATGTGGTATACAACGTTCTGAATGATTCCTTACACAAGTTTCTAAAGGCCGTTCTTATGTTAGCCAACCTGGCATATGCCGCTGATGTTATCCTCTTGATATGAGTTTCAGGGGACAGGTCTGGCGTGATATCAACCCCCGGGTCTTTCTCTCTCTCTGACTCTTGAAGTATTTCAAGTGCTTATAATAGGATAATTTCTAGTTATTTATAAATAACCATTCCTGACAGATGTAGCTAGTGATGTACTAGAAAGTATATAATAATAGTAAGACCAGTACTAGGGCTATTAATAGCAAATATGAGTGAGATATATTTTAATTATGCTATTAACGGTAGGCTCGCATATATATATGTAATATTAATATATTAAATAGTTCGTTGTAATAACTGCTATTTGGAGTGTATTACAAAAATAATAATAAAAGCAGTTGAATCAGGAATTATAATAATTAAAATTAATAAAAGTATTTTGGGTCAAATATGAGCCCACAGGTAATATCTGATTTGGAAACGCTAATTAAACTAATGGTTAATATACCTGACATGCTTACCTTACAAGGTGACGTAATAGACCTAATACATTCTATTTTTTACGGAATCCACGAATCCGTTAAAAATGCGATGTATTAACACGGATTAAAGCACCGTAATAACGACGTTTACTATGAATTACCTTCGATAGGTGGGTTCGTACGTGTCTGGGTAGGCGAAACAGTTGGATCTTTTTGTTTTACGGAATGACAAATTGAGAGAATGGACTGGCAGAGAAGGGCCTTTATATCTGAACACGAGTATGGGTTCAGGGATCCTGCCTCATTAACCTGATAGTTTTGCACACGCGAGACTGAGGAGAGTGGGTAGTCTGCATATTTTTGGGCTGCCAGAAAGCCTTTGACAAAGTACCGTACGTGCGAGAAACAAGTCAGCAAGTTGAAGGCACAATTGAAACAGCCGTTTCTGTCCAGGAAACGGATGTTTTAATGTTTTTGAAACACCGTTTTTGTCCTGGCCGGGTGCCTTGGTTGCGAGCCGAGGATCTAGACCTCTTTTTATTTTGAGATATATACAAGAGTTGTTACATTCTTGTACAGCCACTAGTACGCGTAGCGTTTCGGGCAGGTCCCTGGAATACGATCCCCTGCCGCGAAGAATCGTTTTTTCATTAAAGTACACATTTTACTGTTGCGTTAAACAGAGGCTACAGTTAAGGAATTGCGCCCAGTAAATCCTCCCCGGCCATAGTATTTAATGTATTATAGTATTTAATGCTAGATACATGGATGAGGTGGATGGATTAACGCCGTGGCATGAAGCCATAAATATTGCAACCTGGAGCTAGACGAGGTGCCAGCTGGAGCGTCACGAGGCTAGTGTGACCCGCAGTACTTGAGTCTAGTTCGTGTGCCACCTTCAGACTTCCTCGCTCTTGATTTTGGATCCACGAAGAGGCGAAGAACATAGCTAGAAGATGGGAAGCTCACAGTAGCATGGGGAGGGAATATGGCTATACGATAGCCTCATCGAGCCTGGGGGAAGCCCCCATGATGCCACTTGGTGGCGTGTGGCAAGTAGCACTAAGATGGATTCTTGACCCGTTGTTGTTGCTGGTTACATTTCCCTGGTGGTGCTCCTGTTAATAATACAACTGTTGTGCGGGCTTGTGTCTTCACGCACCTCCAAGAACGTGCCCTTTCTGCTCTCTCTTCCCTACAAAACGTTTGAAGAAAATATTCATTATCTCATGATTGAAGGGACTGAAGCTTTATCGCAAGTCTTTGTCCACCTGACGCGTCAACAGGGAATCTTCTTAAACTCTAAATTATCATGTGAAAATGTCGTGAAATATTCAAACGCCCATATTCTTGGTAGCGGCTAAGAGGGTGTTGAGTTGGAAAATACGAGACGTCCAGGGCGTAGCCTAACTACGGTGCATCATGGCAGAAAACAATATTGCAACGACCTGGTCATGTTTAGAAGCTGACGACTAAGAATCCAGCTGATTTGTCGAAGCAGACTTTTTCCCACCTTAGCAGGGCCGCACATGGGTCAGTTTGAAGTCGAATTGACCTATCACTGGCAACTTTTCAAACATAATATTCCGAAGACGTAAAAGTGAAGACCACGAGAACCTCTTATAGTGGGGTCGAGAGGGGGGAGGAGGGGGCTGTGAGTCACGTATTTTATAGAAAGAAGACCCTTTAGTCTCTGTTTACAGGGAGTGCAGGTTGAGATCCTGTCGTGGCGGCAGTGACTTCATGTGCCAGGCAGCCTATGAAGGCGCCCCCTGGAGGAGGAACCAACCATATCGTTCAGCAAATGTGCATTGTTAATCCCGATTTCACAACGTACCACGGAATATTGTGAAGTGCTATCCCGAAATCTAAATAAGTGCGATTCAGGGGAAATGGTTAAGAATGAAAAGGTGGATCAGATCACAATGTGTAGCGTCGGTTCTCAATCTTGACGAGTATCCCTAAAAGTGATAACAGAAAACGGCTGACTATTGAAGAAAAACAGCGTTAAAAGTCGACTTTCGTAAAGGGATTATATATAATTAAGTAAACGATTCCATTTAAATAATATGCAATTACAATTCCCATTCCGACTTCATTCATTAGTTACTTTGCATTGTGTAAAGCGGCTCCAGAACTTGATCTAAGGTAATTACATCAGACCTCACTCCGACGTCAGCAGTCAACAGAAAGTACCACCAAAATAGACAAACAGTGAGAGAGTGAGAGGAAAGAGGGCAGAAAGGGCTTGATGCCGTGGAAGAGCGCCCAAGTCTTACGAACCATAAAACCTTTCATGGCACTTGAAGGAAGCTCCCAAGGAACGTGTCGACCACAACCGGAGAAATCGACGATCTTGTGTTTATTGAGATTGGTTCACCTGGCTTAAAATGACCCACAGAGGTAAATATAAATTATATCTCGTATTAAGGGTTAGTGTTTTAACTAAGTGTCTCCACATACAGTGATTAATGTGTCGCACTAAGTGAAACTTTATCAACTCTTTATAAAGTCTTTATATTGACAGTTCAAGACCAAGTCTTAAGTCAAGATCAGGTTAGGTAATAGGTTGTAATTCCATTCACCTGGGGTCTCGAACCTTGGACCCCGCGTGTGTGAGGGCGACACTCTATCAACTGGGCTATGATAGCCCAATTGTTTATTAGGTTGTAATGTCAGGTCAAGTCGGGTTATGTGAAGCGAATCCTTTGGTCAGTACAGGTATTGGATGGTGTGTCAGTTTATAAAGTCTTTCAAAAAGATGTCAGGCAACACCTGTATTGATATCATATCTTCAGCAAGCATCCTTACTGATGTCAGTTATCAAAAAGCACTTATGTCGATGTCAGGTCTTCAGTAAAACTCCTCTATTGATGTATCAATACAGGGATTTTTCTTTCAAGTTCGTATTGATGTCAGGTCGTCAAAAAATATCTGTATTGATGTCAGGTCGTCACAAAATATCTGTATTGATGTCAGGTCGTCAAAAAGTATCTGTATTGATGTCAGGTCGTCAAAAAGTATCTGTATTGATGTCAGGTCGTCAAAAAGTATCTGTATTGATGTCAGGTCGTCAAAAAGTATCTGTATTGATGTCAGGTCGTTAGATAAACACATGGAATGATGTCAGTTTGATTACAATGAGTTGCCTTGGCGGTCATTCTACCTGTAGGATGAACTGAATGAACTTGTATGAACTATAGATGAATAAACCTAGCTCTGATTATTGATCAGTAACATGTTGGATCTGTAGGTGTGACGGGATCAGCAGCATGTGTAGGTGTGACGGGATCACACGTGACAGGACTTCGTGTACTGTCACGCTATGTCATCTTCCTATAAAATAAACCATGTGCTATATGAAAAGTTGAATATTCTTGCTCCTCATAGACAGTCCTTCCACTTGGCCTGGCTGGTAGAGTGACGGGCTCGAATCCTGCAAACGATTCAATCCCTAATCCCTAGCGCCTGGTGGACGAGTGGATAGCGCTCGGGATTCGAAGTCCTAAGGTTCCAGGTTCGATCCCCGGCGGAGGCGGAAACAAATGGGCAGAGTTTCCTTGATCCTGATGCCTCTGTTCATCTAGCAGTAAATAGGTAGCTGGGAGTTAGACAGCTGTTACAGGCTGCTTCCTTGGGATGTGTAACAAAAAGGAGGCCTGGTCGAGGACTGAGCCGCCGGGACGCTAAGCCCCGAAATCATCTCAACATAACCTCAAGAAGATAATGATCCAAGTGGCTGTATACCATCCGTTCAATCCAGCATCATATCCCAGCTTCTTCTTATCTCTTCCAAGTGTTATATAGGTATGCAAATTTAGCTCATACGCGAGATGATTACCTTACATTACCTTCTTCGCAGGCTGGGTGTGGCTGGCGTGGGCGAGGTGGGTGTGGTCGTGCGGGTTAATGCTGGCAGCACGATGCTTCTCGTACCTGGCCCTCGCCTGGATGTACGTCAGAACCAGTAAGTCTGGTATACCTTAATGTAACATTTCTTGGTAAACTCCATCAAGATAACTTGATAACTTTCTCACGTCCTCTTTAATCAAGTTCCTCGTTGGCTTCCTCCTTTCCTTGAATTCGTTTGTGTTTTTGAATATCCCTGACTCTTTTTAATTTAATTTTTGCAATTTGTGAATATAATCTTTAAAGGCCTGATTTTTTCCTTTTTCGATTTTCCTAGTATTTTTTTCAGTGATATGTGCCATTGTCATTATATTTCAGGATATTTTCATGAGACTTTCCCTCGTTGCCAACTTAACAAGTTACGAATGTAATAATTTCATATAACTTTTAAATCTTATGTTAGCATTCATTTATTGAACTAATTTTTGACACTTATGCTCTCTCTGAATACCTTTAAATAGTATTTTTTTTTTATCAATTCTCAGTTCTCCACCTTGTAATGATTCTCCAATTCCTTTTTTGATGAGAAATTTTATCAACATAATCCATATTCTTTAAAATTAGTTTCTATTTATTTCCATATGTTGTTTAAATTTACTGTGTTTTCTTTAGGCTTTAAATTTGTGCTTTTCTTACTTTCTTGCACCAATTTTTCTTGTAGTATTTCCTGCCTATTTTTGGGGTAAATTGGTTCCCGTCATGCGATCTTCTTTTATTCTTGTAAGAATTATTTTTCTACAAGATTCCCAATTTAGAAATGCCCAAGAACATTTATCAGTCATAAGACTAAGAAAAGGTAAAATTAAGGAAACTGCAATCCTTTTGGCCCATACGAGGCAGCTCCTATTGTCCCATACGAGGCAGCTCCTATTGTCCCATACGAGGCAGCTCCTATTGTCCCATACGAGGCAGCTCCTATTGTCCCATACGAGGCAGCTCCTATTGTCCCATACGAGGCAGCTCCTATTGTCCCATACGAGGCAGCTCCTATTGTCCCATACGAGGCAGCTCCTATTGTCCCATACGAGGCAGCTCCTATTGTCCCATACGAGGCAGCTCCTATTGTCCCATACGAGGCAGCTCCTATTGTCCCATACGAGGCAGCTCCTATTGTCCCATACGAGGCAGCTCCTATTGTCTCATACGAGGCAGCTCCTATTGTCCCATACGAGGCAGCTCCTATTGTCCCATACGAGGCAGCTCCTATTGTCCCATACGAGGCAGCTCCTATTGTCTCATACGAGGCAGCTCCTATTGTCCCATACGAGGCAGCTCCTATTGTCCCATACGAGGCAGCTCCTATTGTCCCATACGAGGCAGCTCCTATTGTCCCATACGAGGCAGCTCCTATTGTCCCATACGAGGCAGCTCCTATTGTCCCATACGAGGCAGCTCCTATTGTCCCATACGAGGCAGCTCCTATTGTCCCATACGAGGCAGCTCCTATTGTCCCATACGAGGCAGCTCCTATTGTCCCATACGAGGCAGCTCCTATTGTCCCATACGAGGCAGCTCCTATTGTCCCATACGAGGCAGCTCCTATTGTCTCATACGAGGCAGCTCCTATTGTCCCATACGAGGCAGCTCCTATTGTCCCATACGAGGCAGCTCCTATTGTCCCATACGAGGCAGCTCCTATTGTCTCATACGAGGCAGCTCCTATTGTCCCATACGAGGCAGCTCCTATTGTCCCATACGAGGCAGCTCCTATTGGCCCATACGAGGCAGCTCCTATTGTCCCATACGAGGCAGCTCCTATTGATCCCATACGAGGCAGCTCCTATTGTCCCATACGAGGCAGCTCCTATTGTCCCATACGAGGCAGCTCCTATTGATCCCATACGAGGCAGCTCCTATTGATCCCATACGAGGCAGCTCCTATTGTCCCATACGAGGCAGCTCCTATTGTCCCATACGAGGCAGCTCCTATTGATCCCATACGAGGCAGCTCCTATTGTCCCATACGAGGCAGCTCCTATTGTCCCATACGAGGCAGCTCCTATTGATCCCATACAGGTCTCTCCTGTTTATACCCTCACAATCTCACATACATGCGTAACCTACTCTTGAAACAATTCAGTAAAGACCAATCTTTATAGGCCTCGTATGGACCTATAAGAGCTGCCTCGTATGGACCAATAAGAGCTGCCTCGTATGGACCTATAAGAACTGCCTCGTATGGACCTATAAAGAGCTGTTCGTATGGGCCAATAAGAGCTGCCTCGTGCTTCGTATGAACCAATAAGGGCTGCCTCGTATGGACCAATAGGTCTTCTGCAGGTTCCTCTAATCTTGTGTCAATTATTTATCCCCCATCTTAGCCATTCCGGTATGGGAGAAGGACACGACCCTGGCCCTCTGGATCAACCGAAAGGTGTCGTCGCGACCTGTCGCCGACCTGTGTCGCGACCTGGCAGATGGGGTGATCTTGTGTGGGCTCCTGGATGCCCTGGTGCCCGGGACGTGCCCTAGACACGACCTTCTGCCCGTGGATCAGCCCGCTGCCAACCTGTATATCGCCTCGAGGCTCGCCACTAAATACCTCGGGGTCTCGCAGGTGAGATCGATCGGGGGATTTTTTTATATCAGGGAATTGAGGAAGGGGATTTCATTAAGGTTTGTTAGGGATGATTGGGATTGGGGAAGAATGAGGTGTGTGAGGCAGGAATGATGAGGTGAGCTTCGGGAAGATTATACGAGTGTAAAAACAAACACAAATTAAGATTGGGTGCATAGGATTAGCCATTACACATACACTTTTAACACTGACATACACGCTCATAACACAGACATATCTTGGTCATAATGTGACAAGACATGATCTCAGACATAATGTGTGAATTGTACACACACATTACAAGTCGTGGAGATACACATTTGAGAAGATCTGACTGAAGAGAAGTATTTATAAAACCCTCCCACGTTCTCCCAAGTCCCAGTGTGACTTGGGACAACATTACCTAGAACATGAAGCCAGAATATAAGACTCTGATCAGGGCACAGGCTTGAATATAGCGATTTCCGCTGTTTCCGCTCGCCGCTCTTCAGCACAAGTTTGTTTACCAGGGGTCTACGGTACACTTGAGTATACAATAGCGATGCAGGCTTATCCAGTGCTCTACACTAGTCAGTGGGGGGTGTATCGGAGGTTCGTGGGTGTAGAGGGGAGGTGTAATAGTGAGTGTGCCGCCCTGACTTCGAAGGTGTGGTCCTGGTGTAGGTGTACAGTATGGAAGTGGGGGCGTGGGTGCGACTGTGTGTATGGGGAGGGGTTGATATTGGGGAGAAGGAGTTATTGGGGCGGCAAGGTGGTTACGTCTTGTTGGTGGAAGCCTCACAGTGTCAACGGGAATAGATCCTCTTGTGTTGCTGAGCTTGTTAAGTCACGTGGTTACCCCCCCTCCCCCTCTCCCCTCCCTCTCATTTGTCAACACCGATATGACGAACTCACACACCCACTTCGTCTCTCTACCAGCATAAACAACCAGCTGTCAAGAACCACCACTTCGATTACCAGCTGGGGTACTCGCTATAACCACCTGGGTGCCATTTTCACCTGGCACCCCTCACCACCTGCACAGGTGGTGTGCACGGCCCTCTGGCACTCACCTACTGCCTAATCACCTCAGAATGTGACCAGCTGAGTAGTCGACTGGTGGCACTATTTACATCAGCTGTTACCAATCCCTTGGGGGATCTGGAGAGCCAACTATCCTCTGTGGATAGCTAACTATCCTCTGTGGATAGCTAACTATCCTCTGTGGATAGCTAAACATCCTCTGTGGATAGCTAACTATCCTCTGTGGATAGCTAACTATCCTCTGTGGATAGCTAACTATCCTTTGTCGATAGCTAACTATCCTCTGTCGATAGCTAACTATCCTCTGTCGATAGCTAACTATCCTCTGTGGATAGCTAACTATCCTCTGTCGATAGCTAACTATCCTCTGTCGATAGCTAACTATCCTCTGTCGATAGCTAACTATCCTCTGTCGATAGCTAACTATCCTCTGTCGATAGCTAACTATCACTAATCATGCAATATTTCACATAGTTTGAGCCAAGGCCTTCCTAAGACACGTGGCCCACAATGCATCAGCAACATTGTACATCTTTCGAGATAAAAAACATCTTGATAAGTATTCAGGTCTTCATGATAATGACAATATCCTTTTCTCTCTCGTCTTGTAGGACTTGAAAGATGCTGGATATCTCTTACTGAACATCTCATCTTGCCTAAGCATCTTTCTCAGGCGTTGTGTAGCATTTCTCAACATTTCCCCCCCCCATGCTGCAGCATCCCTTGTAGAGGTCACTCAGCATTTCATCTCCCACAGGACATCAGCAGCATCAGTGATGGGACAAAGGGACGTGCTGCTCTGGTCCAGTTCCTCCGAGGAGTCAGATATGCTGCTCTCAGACGCCACGTCTTCGGGGGCCCACCTGTTACCCCCTACTCTATCGCACAAACACTCGGCTGTCACCAGGTGGGTCAGGGTACAGGGGTGGGCCAGGGTACAGGGATGGGCCAGGGTACAGGGGTGGGCCAGGGTACAGGGGTGGGCCAGGGTACAAGGATGGGGGTCAAATATTTTGCCTCGACGTCCCCCAACTTTCCAACATGAAACATGGGGGGCAAGTAAATGCTATAGACCAGACGAGGTCGGCCCAAGTGCCACCGTTTAATAAATATCGGCAACTATAGCGACCCCCCCTTGTGATTTTCACCATCTGAAATGAAATTGGGCAGATGTTTTCCGTAGAGTTGTAAGCAGTATTTTCAATGTTTGGGAGAGAAAGAGAGAGAGGGGGTGGATGCTAGGAATGGGGATGGAGAGGGAGGTGGAGAAAAGGTGTAGAGGAGAGAGGGAAGGTATCCGGACACAGCCGGACACAGCCGGACACAGCCGGACACAGCCGGATACCCCGGATAGTATAAAACAAATGTTTTAAATACACAATGAAAATCACAATCACCTGATTAATCTATGAATACTTCTAATATCTGTACGACAACATTGAACCTGCGACCAGGATCACCTCGGGCACACGCACTACCGACTGAGCCAAGATGGGCTACAGGACCCGGACGATGCATTCCAAACTCCATGCAATTAAGAGTCCATCTAGTTAAGAACCATTTTTAGCCCATTATGGTTCAGTTGGTAGTGCGTGCGCCTGGGGGAGTCCAGGAACACGAGTTCGAGCCCATCGTACAACCCCGTAATTATTTAAATATTTATTTTAGTTTGTTACTAAACAAGTTATTCTGTAGTTGGTTTAATTGGCTAGTTAAGAGAAAGTTTCCTAATGGATTTAATTTTGCTTGTGGTCACGAGACATTAATAATTCTCTTCAAGAATCATTAACGGATAGAACAGTCTTACCCGCAGCTCAGATACCTTGAGTTAGTCAACACAGGGACTAATTATTGGGTTATATCTCTCTATTTTGCTAGTATATGAGTGTTGTGATTTCTTCACTGAATTGGTCCTTAGAACTTCATTGTTGCCCGAAACGCTTTGCGTAATAGTGGCTTTAGGCATTGTATGTACTAGCTCTATCTATAAAGCCAACAAACTTTGTAAAATCTCTTTATGTATGTACCTTTACCTAAATAAAAATTATTATTATTATTATTATTATTATTATTATTATTATTATTGTGTTCCCTAAATGCACTTACCTAAGAGAGGTGTCCTGCTTCCCTAAATGCACATATCAAGGGAGCCGGTCGGCCGAGCGGACAGCACGCTGGACTTGTGATCCTGTGGTCCCGGGTTCGATCCCGGGCGCCGGAGAGAAACAATGGGCAGAGTTTCTTTTACCCTATGCCCCTGTTACCTAGCAGTAAAATAGGTACCTGGGTGTTAGTCAGCTGTCACGGGCTGCTTCCTGGGGGTGGAGGCCTGGTCGAGAACTGGGCCGCGGGGACATTAAAGCCCCGAAATCATCTCAAGATAACCTGAGAGAGATATATCCTGCTTCTTGATGAATGTACACAGTTTACCTTAGTCCTAGACTATCTTCAGGACAAAGGTAAACTTTCTGGATGGTCTCTAAACTATTAAGATGGTCTTAATAACCCCTTAGAACTTAATAGCCTATAAGCCTAATACCATCTTCCTGAATACTCGTTTGATTCCATTCACCTTGGCTATATGGGTCTCGAACCGTGGTCCCATATTTTTTACTCGTTTGATTCCCTCAGGTGATCGCCCGGGGGATGGGACTCCAGCTGGGGGTGGTGGGTCGGAGAGCGAGGTTCACCCTCTACCTCGCTGGGGCCACGGGGATCGACCTGGTGGTGGAGGTCAAGAACGACCTGAATGACTACTGCAGTCATCGCATTACTAGCCGTTCCCCCGCGAGGGTCGGCTACCTCTCCAAGGATGCCCTTAAGGTAAGTTCTCGAACTCAGAAGATGCTCTCAAAGTCAGTTTTCGAACTCAGAAGATGCCCTCAAGGTAAGTTCTCGAACTCCAAAGATGCTCTCAAAGTCAGTTCTCGAACTCCGAAGATGCCCTCAAAGTCAGTTCTCGAACTCAGAAGATGCCCTCAAGGTAAGTTTTCGAACTCGAAAGATGCCCTCAAAGTCAGTTTTCGAACTCCAAAGATGCCCTCAAAGTCAGTTTTCGAACTCCAAAGATGCCCTCAAAATAAGTTCTCGAACTCCAAAGATGCCCTCAAAGTAAGTTTTCGAACTCCAAAGATGCCCCTCAAAGTAAGTTCTCGAACTCCAAAGATGCCCTCAAAATTAGTTCTCTGGAACCCCAAAAACTGGATGTCCTCGGATCTTGGAATCGCTGGAGCATGAGGTTACAGTCCCTGAATCCTTACCATAATATCCCTGAATCATTTCCTCAGGGTCCCTTCATCCTCTTCTTGGCTTCCCTGAACAGTGTCTCGTGTTCCCTGACCCAAATCACTATAGGTGTCTGGAACCTGAGTCCTCTTGCGGACTCCAGAAATAACTCACGTAATTCCAGAATTTGAGCATATAGTCCTCCCTGGAAACAGAATTTCTTCCATCTACCCTTTTATCCTCCGTGTCTTCTATTGCATCTTTTGCCTCCTCTCTCTACTTGTCCCTTGTTCCATCTTCCGTGACCCTCTTCCCCTCCCACAGGGACGCCACAACATCCCGCTGGAGTACGAACTGGGGTCGTGCGAGGTCCGCGTGGCCTGGGTGCCTCTCCAGATGTCTCGTCACTCCCTGGCCATCATCTGGCGAGGACAGCACATCGTCGGCTCCCCTTACTGCGTCGTCGTCGACGAGTCTCTGGTCAGTTCTTCCCATCCTTCTCCCTCAGGGTGGGATTAACCCACCCTGAGTTACAAGTAACCTCACTTCGGAAGCCCCCTCTTCCTCATGAAAGAAATTGGGGGGTCTAAGCTCCCCCCTGGCGGTGACAAGCGCCTCTGGGGAGAACAACAACAACACGAGAGAGAAAGAATGGGAATTTAGGACTAATATGAGTTAATATATTATTAAAAAATTGGATAATAATGCAAATAATAATTTAAGAAGTAGCTATACAGTACCATTAATAATACAATGGAGCTAGTAATAATGCAAGATTCATTGTAGCTCCATGTCGATACTCTACCTAAACACATGAATAGTATGTGTGCTATTTTACATATTGTATAGGTATTCGTCTGTAGTTCGTTCTTAAAGCTCAAAAAATGCAGTTATTCTCATGCAGTATGTATAAGGTATGCTTCCGTCGTATTTAGTTTAAGGTAACTGCCAATATTCAGTACCTGACTTAACCTGACCTTTGCCCTGCCTCAGGAACATTCGCCCGGCCGCCAGTGCCAAATCCTTCACTCCACCCAGGACAGTGACACTGAATCTGAGATTGGTAATCCTGTCACCCCAGTCAGCAGAAGTAGGAGGGGATCCCTACACAAGGAAGACACAACTGCTATCTCCTATAGGGCCAAGGCTGGTGCCCTCAGGTAGGTAAACCCTTTCGCTGCTGATCACGTTTTTTTTGTTTGCGATGCTATACCCACGTGAAACAGTGATTATCTACTTAGTCCAAGGTTTACTATTTTTCCTCATATACCTCCAAAAACGTTCTTGCTTAAGTTCTTCTTCATCACAAACCTTTATCCCCTCTTAGTGATCTAAGATAGACTGTTCTTGATAATAACCTATAAGACCTGTTGACCAGACCACACACTAGACGGTTAAGGGACGACGACGTTTCGGTCCGTCCTGGACCATTCTCAAGTCGATTGCCACTCACAATCGACTTGAGAATGGTCCAGGATGGACCGAAACGTCGTCGTCCCTTCACCCTCTAGTGTGTGGTCTGGTCAACATAATTTAGCCACGTTATTGTGACTCATCGCCTGCACCTATAAGACCTGCCTTTCCCTCTTCCTCCATGGAAATAACACAGGCTCTTCCATCCCTTCAGTTCCTGTTCTCAGACCTTCCTTACCCTCCTCACTCCCTTAACCCAAGCCTCCCTCCTTCCCACACCCCCTCCCAGTGTCCTCAGCGAGTCAGACCAGTGCAGGTGTGTGTGTGGCCTTCCTCAGGTTCGTCAACATCCTGCGTCGTCGCGTGGTGCGTCGAGTAGTCCACGTCGGGACTGAGGACGTCGTGCTGCAGGGCGATGAGAGCATCGGCCGCTCCCCGGAGGCACGTCAGGTTCGTCTTAATCCTACCTGTTACTGCCTCTTACCGACTCTTACATACTTGGTTTACCTTGGAAGGGTTAATGACGAAATCCTGATATCTCTCCCTGGGAGTTCACCTGCTGGGACTCTGCCAACAAAGACTCATGTGGGCTTACAAGAATGCCTTCGTCCAGGAACCAGAGGTTGAGTTCGCTGGTCAACTTGATCAACTTATATATATAGATATATATAATATACACACACAATATATATATAATATTATATATATAAATTATATATATTCTTGTGTGTATATTCGGGTTTCATGTCATTTATTTCATTAAGTATTTAAAAATACAGCCTAGGGACCATTCAGGTTATATGTAATATTTATTGCATCTAACTTTGATAACACAATGTAACATGATTTGTATTTCTGGGTAATCCGTGATGTTTTCAGATTTATGCCTCAATAGTATATAAAATAGGGATTATTCCTCTCAAACGTTACCTGGTTGATGGGATTCTGGGAGTTCTTCTACTCCCCCAAGCCCGGCCCGAGGCCAGGCTTGACTTGTGAGAGTTTGGGCCACTAGACAGATTAAGGAAGATGTCTTAACGGTGCCTGAAGGCTGCCGATTCCTTATTAAGAGCTGTGACACGTTTCCCAAGACAGCAGCCATCATGTACCTTCAAGAAGTCTTCCCTAAGATGTCTAAGGCAAAGGTCAAAGCTTGAGGAGAATAATACCCATTTTCTATACTTTTTAAGGAATAGGCATTTGGAAAATTTTAATCGTTACACAATGTAATAATTTCATAACTGACATGATTTTAGTTATATTTTGCACCGCTTGTTATTGATAACTTGCAAATAACTGGCATACGTGTATGCCAATGGTGCCTAAATGGTGTGTTTATTGCAGGCTTTCCGGAAGATGCGGACCAGTTCGTTCGAGAGCAAGGACGAGTATCCGGACACTGGCTTCCCGCGGCTCGGCATCTCTGCCCTCGCCGTCGGAAGATCGTCTCGGCATCCGGATGTCCGATCGTCTGATTCTCCGCTTGAGCCATTAGACGACGCGATTCCCACGCTTACGGAGAGCAAACTGGAAGACTGTAGTCAGATGTGTCATTCAGAAGAAAGGACACAGGAAGATTGCAGTCAGATATGTTATGCAGAAGAGAGGACACAGGAAAATTGCAGTCAGATGTGCCATGCAGAAGAGAGGACACAGGAAGATTGTAATCAGGTGTGTCATGCAGAAGAGACTAAAGGAAGCAACGAAACCGGAAACACAGAATCATTTAATACACCTGATTACATAAATGACTTCTCGCAGAGAAAACGGGACACTATAGGAAATTTACAAAATAATGCCTCTGATGATTTAATTTCAGAACTAGACATACGAACCGAGATCACCAGTTCTGAAGATGTGTTGGACATTGACCAAGAGGTACATATACAAAATCTCAAAGATTCTCATACTGATGAGAACTTGCATGATTTGCAAGACACACAAATATGTACAGCTGATGGAGAAAATATTGAAGGATTCCCTCCAATCAGATTGTACACCGAAAAGGAAGAAAACGGGAAACTATTTGTTCCCGAAGTCAATGGTCTATACGAGAAATCTTGGAGAAAGCCGGATACAGTTATATCGACATGTTTGAGGCCAAATTCAACGGATGAAGTTGATGATGCATGCAGTAGCATCATGAACATATGCGACTTCATCACAGACCACAAACCAAAGAAGGAAGCGCTGCGGACCGTTGAAGTAGCATCAAGGATAATAGCCTACGGATTCAGCGAAGAGTCTGATTCTTCTTGTTCTCTAGCGATGAATGACGCCAAACCTCAACGTGTGTTTGGGGAAGAAAATGCGACTTGGGTTCCAAGTGGTGAAGCAGACGGCGACGAACAACTTGAGGCACTGATGGATAATCAAGGCAATAGCTTGAGCAATTATTCTGTCGGCAGGGGCATCCAGGACAATGTTGACGGAGAAGGCGCCGACGTTTCCGAACCGATGGAGAGCTGTGAAGGTTCGGAGCCGGGCGAAGAGCGCTTCGAGGATGCGGAAGACGGCAGCCCCGAGCACTTCTTGACCCACACAAAGAGACCCTTGGTTATCCCAAAGGTGGTCGTTCACGAGTCAAACGCAACACTTATAGACAATGAAACAGTAAACAGATCAGTGTTAGTGCAAGCAGACGACGACGCTACTGTTGCCATGGACTACCTTCAGACCATCGACGAGGAAACTGAACCAAACTCATTAGATGAGAACAGATGGGAGTCAGAGCTGAAGAAATGTGAAGTCCTCCTTCAAGAGAGCTCAAATGTATCCGGTACGAGTGACACAATGACTGACCCAGACGAAGTGCTGAGGAAGGTAGCACGCTCCCTGGAAAGATATGTAGAAATAGCTGAAGTAGTCGATGGTTTGCTGAGCAGAAGAGAAACAAATTGCAAATCATCTGTGGAGGCAGAAGAATCGTGCAAATCTCTCGTTGAAGCTATAGACCCACTTCACCGGCCAACAGAAATAGCTGAATCAGATGAGGCCAACATGGAATCACCTGCAGGAATGGAAGACCTGAAGCAGTTGACAACTGAAGGCAATAACCCATGGAGACTGCTTGGTCCTCACACAGAAGTGAGCGGACAAAGTGATGAAACGGCAAAGTTCTCTCAAATTTCATCTGGAGAGTTATGCTTCCCTGCAAAAGCAGCCAGTCCCAAGCTGGCTAATGAACAGCCCCAACAGACCAGTGAGAACTTGCTACATATCACTGAAAAAAAGCTCGAGACCATTCCATGCCCTTCTGAAGGCTCACGTGAGGCCACTGAAACCCTACGTGAGACCAGTAAAGAGACCGCTAATGACCTGTTTGGGACCACGGAAGTCCTACACGAGGCCAGTAATCACCTACATAAGACTGATGAAAGTCTATATGAGACCAGTGGAAATTTTGAAGATCACCCAGAAAATTCACCAGAAGGCAGAATGTCTCAACACACAGTTAGATCAAGGGATCATATGGAGGTACTAAGAGTCAGCAAAGACCATCTGGAAGTTGGAAGAGGCAGCAGGGACCAATCTGAGGTCTCGAGAGGCAGCGGGGACCAATCTGAGGTCTCGAGAGGCAGCAGGGACCACTCTGAGGTCTCGAGAGGCAGCGAGGACCAATCTGAGGTCTCGAGAGGCAGCGAGGACCAATCTGAGGTCTCGAGAGGCAGCGAGGACCAATCTGAGGTCTCGAGAGGCAGCGAGGACCAATCTGAGGTCTCGAGAGGTAGCGGGGACCAATCTGAGGTCTCGAGAGGCAGCAAGGACCAATCTGAGGCCTCGAGAGGCAGCGGGGACCAATCTGAGGTCTCGAGAGGCAGCAAGGACCAATCTGAGGCCTCGAGAGGTAGCAGGGACCAATCTGAGGCCGAGAGAAGCAACAAGGAACAGCTGGAGATGAGAAGAGACATGGTGGAAGACGGGGAACTTAAGGACGCAGATGAGAATGAACATATCTTCCCATGCACCCCAACGAAGGAAACTCGCCTCTACCACCAATCACTGGGTGCACGACATGCCAAGTGCTGCAGCTGGAACACCATCTATGAGGGAAGTGGGAAGCACTACAGTCCGTCATATGGGATGCCCGTTGAAGCCTGTGGGTCGCCTGCCGGAGTGCCCTTTGAGACGTCTGGTTCATCTGGTGGATTGTCTCTGGAGACAAGTGTCATTGGAGCTAACAAGTCCCTGGAAGCCCATGACAATCCTAAGCTATGTAAACACGCAGCTAATCCCAAAAGTTCTTTGAGTTCGTCTAGTCAGCCCCCGCCCCCAATGACCGAAGGAGGTCAGCTTACTTCGTCTTCGGAAGTTGCGCGAACAGATGTTTTGTTTGAGAATGGAATCTTAGAATATGAAAATGCCAAAGAATGTTACCTTGTCCCATTCGAGATTCAAAGTGATAATTCACTCGGCGCAGGAAGTAAAGCTATCGGTCGCTCCAGAACCAACCTTTCCCCACCTGGCCCAGTGTCTGGAACAAACCTTTCCCCGCCTGGCCCAGTGTCTGGAACAAACCTTTCCACGCCTGGCCCAGTGTCTGGAAGAAACCTTTCCCTGCCTGGCCCAGTGTCTGGAACAAGCCTTTCCCCGCCTGGCCCAGTGTCTGGAACAAACCTTTCCACGCCTGGCCCAGTGTCTGGAACAAACCTTTCCCCGCCTGGCCCAGTGTCCAGGTTCAGGTCAATGTTCGAAACGAGATCCCTGGAAGAAATCTCATCCCTTCAGAGAGGTAAAACTTCAGGAAAGTCTGAAGACAAATCACAGTACAGTGATTATAAGCCCCCAAGTACACTGCCAGTTGGCTTAGAAACCACGAGAGGCATGATTTCAGAAACCGATACTGACGCTTCACACGATCCACAATCCACGAACAAGACGGATAAAGCCAAATCAGACCAAGAAAATAATGTGGCGAAGGAGAAGTTGACCAGAAAGCCTATCCGCATTCCAGTAATATCTCCAGATATGGCTCGCCTAAATCAACTCAGAGTGGACTCTCCACCTGATAATACAGCTGGAGTGCCCCGCCAACCACATCTTCAATCGATGGAACTTGCCGCACACAAAGGCAGAGTGAAAAGCTTAGTTAAGTTTAACAGGTTATTAAGATCGGTACAAGCCAAAGAGTCGCCTGTGAGATGCGTGTCACCGACGCTACAAACGCTGCAGGAGAAGATCCCCCTGCCATCCAGTGCCTCAGGGAGCGAGGCATTAGAAGCAAGTGCATCGTGCAGCAGCTGCAGCGAGGCATCAGACATGATCGCCCTCGAGGCGGAGCAGCGAGTCTCCCAGCTCCGGTCTGTATTTGAGGTCTCCCGTCTGGCCGCACAGCAAAGGACACAAAGAGCCTTCTCGCGGAAGCTCAAGAAGTTTGTTTTTGGGGATGATAACGAAGAACCATTGGGAACGGAGCACGGGAGCGACTCGTCTGAAATGACCCCTGGTAATGGGGCAACTAAAATGCCAGTAAGTAAAGATCATTTAAGTGACAGGGCTTATTCTTCTGAAAGTACCGGAGTCGTCCATCAGGTTTCACACATGAATATTCCAGGAAACAATTGGTCTAATGTAGCTGGAGTTTCTAATCTAGATGAAGAAACCAGAGACTCGTCTAGTAACGTTACAGTACACCAACCAGAAGAACCTAAGAACCTGGAAACTGGAAAGAGTTTGACGATTTCTGACACATCAGTTCTTCAAGACGAACTGGAAATTAGACAGGATAATGCTTCCCATACCACAGGGAAATTGAAACGCCACAAGAAGTCAGAAAAGCTTATGACGTCGCTGGTAACCATGGAGAAAAACATCAGAGACGTGCAGACATCAGTACAGCGTCTAAGCAAACACTACACTACTGGACCCTCCGGCAATGTAGACCTCTCTCCAAAAGCGGCTCAAGACCACGATCTAAACCTCGACTCGTCTTCAAATGAGCTAAAGCAAGAGACCTCAGGTGTTGCTGGTCTGTTCCATCAGGTGGTAGTGATGAGGGGAACGGTAAAACGTTTGGCACAACACTTTGAGAATGCTGAAACAAACAGTTCAGCGCTGAAGGACACTTCCAGTGCTGATATTGCCTCGGTGCTGCCACCAAAGGCACAATCAGAACTTGGATATTGCAAAGAAACAGACGGAAGGGACAAAATAATGGAAGGAATAACCGAACATATGAATGATTCAGCTGAAGGACAAGTTCCAGGCAACTATCAAGTTCCAGATAATTATCAAGTGGGGACTATCCCTCACTCACAAGACAGAGTTGCTAAACTTGAGTTGCAAGTGCTTCCTGCAGATCTGTACCAACACACTCACTTGCCGCCTCCTGAAGCAGCATGTGTTAACGAACACAAAGAGCAATGTAAAGGCACGGAAAAGATTTCGATGAAGGCCATGGATATATCTCGAGAGAGGCCATCTCTGCCCTTCGGCCAACCTCTTGGAAATATGGGCGAACTCCGCGAACAACGGATCAATCTCGTCACACCTGCGGATGAACTTCAAAAGCAATCCGTAGATCAACTCAGAACAGAATCATATCCAACTTTAGGTCACCGCCAGGAGGCACTTAAATCTGTTCAGCAGATTCAGAAACCTGTCGATCAACATCAGGAGGAGTTAATCGAATCTATCGACCAGCTTCAGAGAGAGCCAACGGAAACTGTTAATCAACTTTGTAGGGAAAACATTGAACCTGTTGACCAGTTTCAGGAAAAGCCGACAGATCTCGATGGTCGGCCTCGGGAATGGAGTGTATTGAAGGAAACATCTGGGCCTGGAAGTAGTAATGAGGACCCTTACAGAAGAGCGCATCAAGCTAAGATAGATTCATGGAATCGAGAAGGGAGCATCAGATGTCATCCAATTGTTCCCATCGGTCGTCTTCAGGTGAAGGCTCATGAACACCCAGTTCAGATGATGGCAGTAGGAGTTGCTGACCATCCTCTTCAGGAACTTCAGGAAAGCGAGCAGCTTCTTCATGACAATTCTGGATTTGACGATCAAACTGGAAAAACTACTGACAATGAATACCAGTCTATAATGAAGAACATACCTGATGACCAGCTGAGAAAGTTTGGGGTATATTTTCAAGAAGATCAAAGTTCATTTATTGATGAACAGGAGGATTCAGATCCTCAAGGAAACTCACCAGTGAGGATGGGAATCCAGCCTGAATCTAGTACCACCGCCCGATTGAAGGACGATGTATCTAATTCTATAGATTCTCAACATCAAAATACACCGATAAACGTTTGGAGTGAATCAAAGGTTTCTGAAATCTTACAAGTGGCGAACACGTCTGAGAAGAATTTGGAAGAATCCAGAGCAGTTTTGGAAGAATTATCAACAGCCATACAACTTCCAAAGGCGTTAAATATGAGTTCGAAACTCCAGATGGCGTCGCCTACGCCTCTGAAAATGGACGAGTCGACATCAAACCTCCTGGATAAGTCGGCAGAACATACAAACTGCCTAAAGGAATCAAGTCTCTGTTCAGAACTCCTGAAGGATCCACCTACGTCTAAAGACCAACTGGACAAACTAAATAGTCTCCCAGACCTCCCAGATTATGCAAATGTGTCTTCAGACTTATTCCATTCAATCAAACCGTCAGATTCGCTCGAAAATTCAACTTTACTCTTAGGGTTTTCTAAGGAACGAGCTTCACCTCCAAAGCTCCTGAGAGACACAGTTGAACTTGCAAGCCTGTTGGACGAGCGACATGGAACTGTACACTTTCTGGAGAATCTAACTACTGCCGCAGACTTAAGACAGGCCAATACATCTGCAGCAGATCTGCTGAAGTCTGGAACACCTGCTGACTTTTTGACAGATAAAGATGCTCCTGTAAGCCACTTGAAGGAGCCATATACACCTGTAAGTATATTGAAGGAACCACTCGAGGAAACAATACACGTTGACTCACAAGAGGAATCGACTGTACGTACTACATCCAAGACGCAGTTCTCAGGTTATATTGATTATGTTGAAGAGCCAAATGACACGGTTGATGTTGCTCGCGCAAAGCAACCGGTAAATGCGCATGAAGCTTTGCGGAAACCTCTAACACCACCAAACGCATGTGTCCCAGCAGATATAATAGAGAAGCGTAAGCTGCAGAGCTACGCAAGTGAAGCTTGTATTCAAACTTCAGAACATCAAGGAAGGAAGCTATTTTCTCCGTCTAGTGTTGAGAATATTGATGCAAATCGGGAAGATTCTCTCGTATCTTCTGTCACCAAAGAGTCAGAAAGATCTTCAGGGCAAGACTCGTGTGTCATGTCTTACAGAGACACCGGGGTACCTAAGGGGAGAACGGTGCAGCCCGTTTCTCAACACGAAGTCCCTGTACCCGGAGTTGTAGTGTTCGGGGCCACGGCAGAGAGCGGCCTCGATTGTATTTATAAGTACGATACAAACCTCAATTCTGATTCTGACAATATTCATGTGGAGGACGTAGCTAACTGCCAGAACACTTACGACTGTCTACAAGACCAGGTTTCGGTAGATGTAATTGCTGGTGGGAAAACTTATCGCATCATTCCTGAGAGCTTATGTGCGTCAGATGTGCGAGAAAATGAAATACTGGAGTCAAATTATTCTTCTGGGTTTTCCACAAATGAGCCCATTAACAGTGATAAATTACGAGGGAGGGAACTTGGTTCCATGCCCTTCAGTGCAGGCTACAGCAGTGGGGAGTTCAGTCAGGAAATTGAGGTGTCGATTCAGTTTCCAGCTGAGGCGGATGAGACCTCTCCTGACAAGTCAGAAGAGCTTGAAGAACACAGGAAATTGCTGTGCCCTGTTGCGTTAGAATCCTTGCCTCATCGCCCTCACTCGCCTCTACACAATTTTTTTTGTAGAACTGGTGAACCAGTCGATCATTCAGACGATGACTTACCTCTTCATGATCACACTCCAGATCTCAACAGACCGCAGGAGTTAATGCAAGACAAACCCGCCATTCCCCAGAAACCACTGGGAGGACATTTGAGCACTCTCGAGGGGTCCAATATAGACGAAGTAGCGTCAGAAAAGAGATTCGTCCTAACATCGCACAGGACAGTTGCAGACTCGTGGCCACGCTCATACAAATCGGCTTTAAACCCATTGTCAGCGCCCTCTGTTTCCTCGCTTCTGAGTGGAGTAGATATACCGACTTGCAGTGTGGAAATGACCCCGCATGGGGACACAGGTGGGGTGGACTCTATTGACACTGCTGTCAACCCATCATGCACGGAAGAGGACACCGTTGGCGCCACTGTCAGCCCGTCATTGGCAGCTCCAAAGGCGGGTCTGCCAAGTATCCAGGTGTCGCTGGAAACACTAACAACGAGAATTAGCTTATCAGAAATGGCCCCAAACTTCACAGATACTTCAGAGATACCCACTGATTACCCCATAGACGTTAGACATGGTCCACAAAACACATCTGTTCACGAAAACATATTAAAAGATAATTCAGAGGAAAGTTTATTCAATTTACTGGCCATTGTGTCCACAGATGCCCAGGTGAACTCTGCTCACGGGAATAGCATACAATTTACATTAAAGGACGACCCTCGGGGTGACAGCTCTGCTGAACTAAAGTCAATCGATGCTGAAGTTGAAACTTACTGGAATGTGTCGAGTAGCCACGCATCTGGACAAATTACACAGGTGTTGTCTGACAGTTTGTCCAATGATGAGGAGTGTAACAGTAAGGTGGAGGATCAGGACGAGGAGGCGGATCTGGTCAAGGAAGCGGATCTGCTGCAGGTATCAAACAGCTACTTGATGGTCGAGGAACCAGGTCTAGAGAACTCAGACGACAGTGATTTTTCTTTCGGCACAGAAGACTGTGGGGATCCTCTGATACCGAAACAGTTCATTGATGCAATGTTGATTTCTACGAGAGCGGAGAGCCAGCAAGAACAGTTAGAATACAACGCGCTTCCTGGAAGGTCAGTTGAAGAAGACAGTGACCCCGACACATTAAAATGCCAGACTTCCTTCTCCATTTCCCAGAGTAAGAAGGAAGTTGCACTGTTTTTAACAGACGGAAGTCCTGCTGAGCTTCGTCACCAACCGACAGTTGCACACATGGAAGATTCAGTCCTCACCCGGTCACAGGAGATCAAGGCGAATCAGGAGGCAGCAACAGCCAACAGATGGTCGGAGGAAAACAAGACGAGTCAGGAGGCGCCAACAGCCACAGAGTCAACAGCTTCAAGGACACGTGTCAAGGTTGACGAACAAAATGACACAGACCCGGATGACAGCGATTTCACTTTTGGGACAGAAGATTCTGGGGACATATTCCACGTGCCTCAAAGGTACATTGATGAACAGTTGGCTTTCAAGGATGAGGAAAAGTCTTCAAAGAATATGATCTCATTACCTCTGGCGCCTAACGACTCTAACTCTCTTGATGCCAAATTTAAGAGACTCACACGCACACCATGGAACAGCATTGACCAAGACTTATTAGATGGACAAAGGGAAAATGCCACAGTGTTAGACAGTGCTGAACTATTAAGGAGAATATCTGAAATTCATTCCACATTGCAAGCCTCTAAAGAAACGTCACAAGATGCTGTTGTTGAATCAGAGAAAAAACAAGCTTCACATGAAATAAAATCGTCTCAGGATATTTCATGCCATATGACACCCGCTGGAGTAGAAGGACTAGTGTTAAATTCGACTTCAGAAACCAAAGAATCCTACCCACTCAGTCCGCAGCCAAACACAGACTCATCGGCTAGCCTCTCGACCGTCGACGTGAGCGCCGTGCCTTCACAACCTCCGACTCGGGACACTACAAGCGGAGAGAATGGCAGCGAAACTGACTCTGATGACGATATGCGTGTCGGCCCACTTAAGAGCAGTCAACCCTTGGTCATACCCTTGTCCGCAAGCCCCAGTAAGTCCACAACACCTGGCTCGGACAGCGACTCGTCCAATTCCGAATCTGATGCCCTGACGGACGAGGACGACATCGAGGTGTGCGCGGTCAAGAAAAAACCCAAGTACACTAAGCCTGCTCGCAGCCACCGTAGCAAGCTTCACACCATCCAGGAACTCTCGGAGGACGAGGAGGAACGGGATGCAACGCCAATCAGGCCGCCCAGACAGAGCAGGCTCACTGGCGCAAGGTCCAGGCTCACTGAGAACTGGTGGAAACCTGATTTCCCAAAGGTTCACCAGGCATCCCCTAAAACGACAAACTTATGCTCAGATTTCTCGAGAAAGCTTGGGGATGGTGATGGTGAAGTGTCCAGCACAAAGGTGATGGGAGGAAGCCGACGCAATAATCATCCTCTAGCAATGGTAAAGCTCATTCCAGACAATGTATCTTCATCATCTTCTGGCGATGACTATGACGACGATGGTGATATCGACGAACCAGTTGTAACATACGGACGGCTCTCCTACACGGGAATTGTCTTCAAGAAAATGCAGAAGACAGAATCCCTAGCGAAGAAAAATATAACCTCGAGAACATCTAGAAGTAGCAAGAAAGCCAGCTCCAACAGTGAAACAAATGCTGAGCAAATTAATCCTGAGCGGGATCAAATCCTTCAAGCTGGGAGCGAACTTGGACCTGGAAAGCATCGAAATTCACCTGAGCTTGAGGATCACGTAATACAAAAAATAAACAATGGTGGAGAGAAGTTTATAGAAACTATGAATGAAAATTATATTGAGAATCACACAGGTCCAAAAATAAACGAAAATGAAGAACAGGAAAGTTTAAATAATAACGTCATGGAGGAACTTGCCAGTTCGAATAAAACTGAAAATTTGAAACATAAAAATCTAAACAAAAATGAGATCGTGAAATATGAAGATCGAAACGAAAATGAGAATGAGAACGACGCAATCATCACTCGAAACCAAAACATCCAAACGAAGCTTGTTGATCCATTCTCCCAAGAGCTCTCGACCTCAAAACCTGGAAAAGAGAATCCTCGGGAGAGGAACCCTCGATACCCACAAAAAGAAGCTAACTCAACGGTCAGCTTCTTGGAAGAAGAAGAAGATACCACCCAATACTTCTTCCCTCCCATGGAGACCCTATTCACCCCAGCTTCTCCAGACCCCATCATCATCACCAGCAGCGCCTCCCAATCTCCCGCTGTGAAGGCAGATGTACCCACCATAACTCGGTATGTTGTCACTCATCTAGGGCGGGAGAGTGTGCTAACCGACCATACCTTTGCTCCTCCGATGGAGAAGCTGTTGAAACCGACGCTCCAGATGGCCGGTGAGCAGGTTGATGACCACTTCCCACTTGGGAATGAGTTTGAGAGAAAATTTCAAGGTCAGTCCTGTTGTTTTTCCATGATAGATGATCTTCTGGACGTTCGTGCATGCACAGCACCTCAATTTTTAGATGTTGGAAATTCTGAATTGGGGAATTCGATCGCTTTAACAATGCCAGTAAATGGCCTTACACATCCTGAGCTTTTATCAGAGAATACAATTCTTCATAAGAAAGATTCTTTAACCATGGCGGCTGAGGGAGCCAATAGGGATTCGAAGGACCTTAGCGACATTATTTTACGGTGCAGCAAACAGTCTGAAACAAATTTAAACTGTACTAATTCCCATGAAGAAAATACAAAAGCAGAGGTAGACAATGAAGAAATTTTGTTATCTACAGAAAAACCCCATGACCTCGAAACGAGAGAAAATGTACTTAAATGTAACACTGATAGAAACGAGATATCAAAGGGGGAGGATTTTTTGGGGGAAACTATTGTTGGCTCTCAAGTACCCGCAGTTGGTGAAATTAGTCAGGAAACAGAATTAGAAAGCATTTCGGAGGAAGCAAGAGGCAACCATGCCATCAGTGAAGAATACGTGACCAATCAAGGAAGCAAAGAACCTACTGACGAAGGGACTCTTGAAGGCAGAGAGTACGACGGTAGTATCAACAGTCCCGCTGATGTGGACTTCATCGAAGAACCTTTGACCTCTTTTCAGAGTAGCGGCCCTCAACAGCTTGGTTGTTTTCAGGACGTTATCGATCCGACAGAAGCGGTGACAGATAAAGGTGAGAGTAAGGGCAGTATTAGTGCCGAGGCTTCTCCAGTAATGGCCGTAGAGCTTACCCAGAGCACCAGTAATGTTGTCCTTTACTCCCTCGGCAACAACAGAAAATTACCCGGTGGCGCAAGCAGTTTATTGCAGGAACCTGAGACTCTGACTTGGCATTCCAGAGATGTGCATTTGGATGAGTTGAGTGACGTCTTCCCGCTCACTATTGACACCTTTACTGTGACGGCTAGCAGTGACCCATTTTCTGTGACGAGTAGCAGCGACCCATGTTCTGTGACTAACAGTGACCCATTTTCTGTGACGACAAGCAGAGACTCGTTTTCTGTGACGACTAGCAGGGACCCGTTTTCCCAGCCCTCTAAAATGGGATCATGGGCTGGGGAGTGTTTTAGTGATGAAACAATGCAAGCAAGCAGTTTCTGCACGGCTGATGTAAAGCATGCGCTTCAAGCGGTAAAGGGAAGCCTTAGTGGTGATGGCGAACACTCGCCGTCATCACAAGGAGAAGTTGAGAAGCCAGGTTCTGCAGCCTGTCCTTCAGTCGTTCCTCAGACTCCCTCCGAGGAGTCAGTGGCGACAGCTAGTGGTGAGAACTTGAAACGAATTCCCTCCCACCTAGGAGGAACAATTATGGATACAAATCCAGGATTTGCAATACCGGAGGTGCAATGGGACACTTTTCCCATCTTTAGTGGTATCTCACCAGATGACCTAGTGGCTGTCGATGCATCTTCAGATACATCAGTGTCAACACCAACGCTTGAGGCTGATGAAGCCCTGACGGTAGCAGACTTCGACACTCGCTGGACAAGTTTTGACGTCAAGGAAACAGAGTGTGGTGAAGGATCACCAAATAGCCTTGGTGTTGAAGTAAGAAATGATTCAGATATACAAAAAGTTGTTTGTAATGCCCCAAAAGGGACTGGGTGTATAAAAGAAGAGTTAAGTGCTCCACACGACAGCAGGGAACAATCTCCAGACGCCCAAGTTTTGTTTGAACCTTCCAATCCATATTTAAGGACCACAGAAAATGGCGGAGTCTTAACTTGTCCACATGCAGGGCATCAGGGAGTTGACCTTAATACTTGTAACTCAAGTGGATTAGACTCTCCAGAAGCCCTACATCTCCATACTCGCTCACCAGCTGAGCACGCAAGTGAAGGTGGTGTTGCTCAAACAGATGGTGCAGACAACGAATGGCATGCCTCATTCTCATCATTTTCGTCATCTTCATCACACTCATCGTATTTGTTGAGACATGCGAAGGATTATGAAGACGCTCTTCCCATTGTCGATCTTCTGGGACTTGAGCCCAGGTCTCTGCCCCCACGAGAGGAAACTAACGCGACCAGCCTCCTTAATCTCGAGTCGCCCGACCACTGCACCTCCAGGAACCTGCAGAAGCCCTTGGAGGATGATATCCAGCATACCAGATACATCGATACGGTAGATTTTGTCACTGGATCTCTCAATGACATCCCGAATTCCACGCACAGTGAGGATATCAAGCCTCAAGATGAGAGGGACATCGTTACTAATGAACTTTTCGCCTTTTTACGTGGATCTTCCGAATCTCTTATTGACGCTGACAATCCGGGATCCACAAGCAGTGATGCTATTCAGCCTCTGGTCATGGCAGATACAGTGCAACCGGAAGTAGAAGACGCTTTAGCTGAAAGACAGACTGATAGTTCAGAGGAAGACCTCGGCACTGAGCAGGTGATCACGTCCACCCAACCTCCCTGCTGGGTTTTGGACTCGGGTTTTGGCTCCCCTGATAATGCGATTTTTGTCGACGATTCTTGTGTGGTAAATGAATGTGGGGAAGTCATAGAGTCGGTGAAGACGTTGTATGACTGGCTGCCTACGCAAGGGCTTGATTCAGACCAATTGCAAAGACTTGGGCCAATGCAAGAGTTTGGCTCTGAGCCCATGCAAGAGTTTGATTCAAACCGTTCCCACACGTTCGACTTTACACCTATACAATTACAGAAATCTGCGCCTATACAAATGTTAGACTCTGTATCTTTAGGCACTCTGGACTATGAGCCTTCACAGCTGTCTGACACAGACTCAGAGTATACAGAAGCAACTGATACCAAGAGGTCATCATCTCCGGCCACACATACCAACCCACAACACGAGGCTCAGCTGGGAGACACAACAATCAATATACATGAAGCCGACCCAGGTCATGATCCAATTAGCGATAGCCAGACGAATGGAATATATAGTTTACTTGCTTCAGTACGTCAGACTCTGGATTATGTGAGTGTGTACAGCGAGGGAAGTGACGATAGGGGAAATCAATGCGGGAGAGGACGAGATGAAGGCCAAGAATATTTAAAAGAAACCTCAGAAAATGGAATTTCACATGGAGGTTCCTCCAGGTCGTTGGGTCAGCCCGGTCACACGCCCATCGTCGAGCGTTTGATCAGCTTGGAGGAACTGGTTGGCGAGGCAGCTAACACCGCCGAGGACCTGGTAAGCCAGCTGAAGGAAGGTCTTTCTGACAAGGTACTCAACTTTGCTCAGTGGGAACTCGATGATATTTTAGTTGAAAATAATAGTGTTAAGAGCGAGGCAGACGAGGCAGAGAACAACTCCAAGCTCTCCACCAACCTAGATGGTCCAGAAAATAAGAATGAAAAGCAAGACAGTTCTTCATGTCCTGCCGAAGAAGTGTGTGGTAGACTCTCGCCCGAAGCGACGGTCAAGAACCAGTTAGACACAGCATCTCCTGAAGGAACCGAATCGCACACTGATAAGGAAAATACACTATCAGAAATTTCTTCAGATATCTTCGAGAGTGCCCGTGACTTGTGTCCAGCTATAGATGAAATTTTGATACACAAGTTAAGTGTGCTGGACTCTGATGTGACAGAGGACCAAACAGATGCGTTCCTCACCCACCACGAGAAGACCAGCAAGCGACCAGAGGATGGTGACGTCTCCTCTTGCTTTGCCAGTGATCTTGCAACCCTACAGACTCAGGACCGCAAATCTGACGATCAGGATCACAACAATTCGCTGTATATTGAGCGAATCAATGGCATCTTTAACGAGTTTCAGCATATGCTAAACATGGAGGGTTCCACTCCCTCATCCATGCTAAAGCCAAGACGTCATTCTCAATATGAAGACTTGATTGTTGGCCCTTGTTTATCTGCAAGTGACAGTGCCACTGGACACTGGGTCTCTGAAGCTGTAGGACTGACAGCTTCATCATCCACGCTTCAACTTGGCAAAGATAATTTGATTAATAGTGATGATGATGTTAATGATGATGCGAAAACTGATGATTCAATTCATTCTCAGTCTCACCATAGCTTATTGCATGAACTACACGAGTCTAAAGGTCTTTCTAACGACGATAACTCCGGCGACGAAAGATCTTTCGAAACAAATCCTCTTGATGATGGTAGCAGACGTCGGCCTCACTCCAGGACTCTCGCAGATCTCGTGACCTCCAGACAACATTTCTGGAATTCTTTATTTGAAGAAAGTGAAGATGTTGAAGAGGCAGGAGTTTCTAGCTTAACGTCCTCACCAGCCGTCACCAGGAAGTCGGCTGATCTTACAAGAAGTGGCGCCATCACTGGTGACGAGAATAAGGTCTCTGAACACCACAGTTCCGCAGAAGTGAGTCGGTCTTCCGAGCACATTCACGAGGACGACATTAAAATGCATCTCTTTCAGAGCAAGCAAGAGATTCGTCAAGGCCTGGTGAAGTTTTCTGACACAAGCCTAGTCGAATTTTCTGGTGCAAGTCCAGTCAAGTCTTCTTCTAACACAAGTCCGGTCGAGTTTTCTAGCACAAGTCCAACTGAGTCTTCTAGCACAAGTAAAGTCGAATCTAATGGAACAAGTCTGGTAGAGTCTTATGGCACAAAGATTGAGAATGTTTTGAAAAAAAGAGTGCAAACCAAAAAGAACAAAGAAAGGAAATTCAAATATTTCAAGCGGGGAAGAGACACATCAGAAGAATCTGAAACTGATGGAATATTAGACCCAAATTACAAATCTTGTTTGACCCCAAAACCAAGAAAAGACAAAACACTCGCAGTACTACCAAAGGGAACATTTTCCGAACGCGAGAACGCAGTCTCCCCGAAAGTTGGAACCGATCGCCAGAAATTCGGAATACAGAAAACCAGTGACCAGGAAGGGGGTGACTACGAAAACATTGGTGGTCTCTCGCGAATGCCAAGTTTTAAGAAGATAGAAAAAGGTATTGTAAGGAGCGGCAAGAAACTATGGGAAGGCAAACAAATGGAGCAATCATTTGAGAGGAAACTGTGCCAGAGTCATGTTCTTCCATCATTGAGAGATGCCAACAAAAACTCAAAATGCTCTGCAGTTGGTGAACAAATGGAAAATAAATTTGAAGCAGGCATTGAAGATATTATGAAAAACACATCAGAGCCAACAGAGAGTCTGGAAAAGTACACAGAGGTCATTACATCCCAAGTTATGAAGGAGTCATTTACTGGGACACCCGTGGCACCACAAGACGGGGCTCCCGCGTACCGTCGACCGAGCATCAAGATGATTGCAAAAGGAATTGTTCAGATGAGGAAGAGCCAGTGGGAGGGGAAACTTGAGGTTACAGAGGAATCTGAATTAGAAGAAACTCCACCATCTAACGAAGAACCGGCGACGAAAGATGATGTGATTCGTCCAGAGCCGCAAGTCAGCGACCATAGAGGAAGTCTTAGTCAACAGAAACATCGTAAAGGGGCATCCAGACACAAGCCATCACTGGGTTATCAGCTGAGTGTAAAGATAAAGAACGGGACTGTAGTTGACACTAAACTCTTGTGGGAGGCGAGGGAAGTCGCCAGGAAGAAGGAGCTAATAGCAGATTTGGCGCGTGCCCAGGCCACCATACATGCCGAGGACGCCCAGATCCCCAGTGACGAACACCACGGGAAGAAAATCCCGACGACTAGCTATCAAGATAAAGACTCGATTGCTAGATCTCAGGAACCGGAGATCGAACCCCCTCAGACGTCTGAAGGCGTAGATGCCAGGGAAGTAGTTCGATGTGATGAACCCCTTTCTGAACCCAACATTCAGGAAGGTCGTGTCAATTCCACAAGGCAGATGTGGCTCAGTATGACGACGTCGGATGGTATGAACGCTGAGAGCATCTTGAAAAGCAAAGTGAGATCCCAGAAGAATAAAAAGGGACCCAAGCTTCGTGAGTCAGGAGAGGAGTCTTTCGAAAAGTCTTTGATTGGTAGACACCCAAGCGTAAGGATCCCCGAAGGTGCTGTTCTGGAGGAGAAGAGGAAGTTGGAGTCGATAATGATTCAGTTAAAAAAAGGTCGCGGAATCTACGTCGAGTGGAAAAAATTAAGAAAATCAAGAAACGTCAAAGCTTTTGGCCCATCAGGTCTCCCCAGTGATCGTGTCCCTACAGTCTTGAAGCCGACAGAGACAGACCGGCGTTGCGGGGATGATATTTGCCTAAAGGAAATCGAACCCGATAAAGTCATGGAACGAGTCCCTGGCTTCGAACAAATAAAAAAGGGGACTGTGTTGGCAAGACAGCAAATCTGGAGCATCGGCGAGGCTCGTAAGACTCCGAGTCCGAACCCAAAGGTATTACATGTAAGATCACCACAAGGAAACATTATTCCAGGTGTTGCAAATACACATAAAGGAAAGCATGACAGTCCTCAAGATATGGAACCTGTTAAAATGATTCCTAATACGAAAATAATCGCGAAAGAAGCGGTCAAGTGTAGCAAAACCCAAACAAAATTTTTAAATGCGAAAAACAATTCCAAAACCAATGATTCCAATGATGTGGGTAGATCAAAGACTCAATGTAAAGCAGAGATTGCCAGTGAGTTGATATCTGGGGGACGGCTTCAAGCACAGGGACAGCAACAAGCTGAGGTAGAGGAGCAGCCCAAAACAATACCGGTTTCAGGGTACCAGCTAAGCATAAAGATCAAAGAAAGGCATGTTGCAAGCATCAAGAACCTGTGGGAGGGAAGGCAGCAGGAAGACAGGGCCAATAGGGTCCTTGGGAGGTCTATCGAAGACAAGAAGAAACAGGACTCGTATGAAAGGAACTCCGAGGAATCTCTTCATTCTAAACAAGATGATGACGGTGGAGATGACGCAGCAAAAGGAACCATCGCTCCAAGCTGGAAGATTCAAGAAGGAAAAGTGAGAGAAGAGAAGGAAAAATGGGAAGATATTAATAGCTGCAAAGATGAATATAATCAGTGGAAGAAAGTCAGAGATGATCACAGTTTCCATGAAATCCAGATGGCAAGGGCAGCTGCGTCAGTTGCAGCTGCTGATGCATCCTCCGGAGGTGACACCACTCAGCGGAGAGCAGAAACTCTGCAGCAGAATTCTTTCAAGTCCGAGTTATCCAAAACTGAATCGGCCCTTCAGACTACAAGTATCGTAAGTGCTTCGAGGAACACGTGGGAGGAGAGCGAACACAAAGATCTTAAATTGGCTCGAAAGCCTCTACACACGAGAGTCCTAGAATCTCAAGATGATGGCAAGAGAGACTATGAGGATGAACATCAGGACAAACCATTAGTGCAGGAAATCATCCCATGGAGGTCAGAATTTTGTGAATTCCGGTTTTGCTCAACAGAGGTAGAAATTGGCCGTAAGACAGACAGCGTCACTGAAATGCTTTCCAAAGAACCGACAGAAGAGACCAACAAGGGACAGTCATCCAGTATTACGTCCTACGAAGGCACCAGTCAAATAGACAGACATATAAAGGAGAATACACCACAAAGTAAGAATATCTTACACCAGAAGATGTCTGCTAATCAAGCCTTCTTAGGGGACGCAAACCCTGCAGAAGATACCGAAATGCTGGAGAGAAAACGCAAAAGTAGTCCACACAAAGAATTTCACGTGAGGGACCAGAGCGAGATGGAACCGTCTGCGACGCTACACCATGAGACAAGAGAGCCGAGCGATGCTCAAGTTGAGGAAGTCGACAACAATGCAGCTTCCAGTAGAACCCTGAATTTTGAGGTCGAGTCTAGACATCTGAACACGGGCCATTGCGTCTCGGAGCAAATCCAGGACAACAACACGTTTGCCCAAGCTCAAAATAAACCCAAACAAGCGAAGGTCATTCAGTTTTACCAGAGAGATCAAATCCAAGACATTGCACCGTCAGAAGAGAAAACCTGCATGCTAAACCCACAAGTTGAGCCACAAGACAGTAAACAAAGGAAATATGGTCTCACCAATCATAAACAAGATTCCCGCGACACTGAGCTTTCCAAAAGCAAATCTAACAGGGATGGTAGTCTTGGAGGCAAGAATTCCCGACTAGTAGATAATAGCTATCAGGAACCCGTAAGTATGTCGGAGTCAGGACCGGAGAGTAAGAATAAAGATAGTGAAGACGAAAAGGAGAAGGAAGAAGAAGAAGGGGATGATGATGATCCTTCAACTATCCCTGCGCTCGACCATCCATCCACACGAAAACAGCCGGAAATTGAAACTTGGGTTCGTGAGAATCCGTTATGTGGTACTGGGTTAGTCTTAGATGCTACAAGTTCCTCTGAAAGTCTAGAAAGGCTGTTCCATGAACGTCCTAAAGTATCGCCTACTGCTGAAGTGTCATCTGACGAAGTTCCTGTAATGCCTTCACCTGAAAAAGTTCCCAAAGTTCAAATAACTCATGAGCATCATGAAATGCCATTACATGAAGAAGTTCCTGAACTGTCTTCCATTGAACTACCACAAGAATCATCAGCGGAAGACACGGCAGAAGCAATTTGGGTTGAGCCCTCTGAAGAGTTCGCATCTTGGCTTCTCGGGACGACGAACGAGTCACCCAGAGGCTCCACCACCTACCAACCATCAACTAATTCGATGGCGAAGGGCTTTGGGGATAACACGACTGTCCTCAGGCCAGGCTCGGGGAGTAGAAGACCTCCCGAAACCCTCTCCGGATATTCTCCAGGTATCATCAAGCCCACAGAACAGAAGGGAAGCGGAATAACAGAGGGTGAAGAAGCAAAGGGAGACGAGAAGCAGGAGCCGCTTGAGAACAGCGAGGCCTTGATAAATCAGACACGTCACGAAGTGCTGCAAGAAAACGGTCTACAGCTGCCAGAGTCACCACCGTTGCGTAAAAAGGCAGATGCGTCCTACGAACCGCCAAAAGCCACTGCCTTTAGGAGTCCACCTTCGAAGGACATGGTCTCTCAGAAGAAAGAATTTTGGGATAAGTTAGTAGTTAAAAATGAAGAAACGATCAAAGGGAACACAAATCATACTCACCTAAATATTACCTCTGGAGGCCAATGGAAGCAAGAGATAAAGAAAACACAGTGTGTAAAAGAAAAGAATGACTGTAACGCAGACACAGATTCGAACGCTCCATCGTCAGATTCTGATAATGCGGATGACCCAGCGATCTCATGCATGACTCAGGACGAGCACGAAAAGAATTTAGTTTCACAAAAGAAAAGTTTTTGGGACGACCTCATCACCAAGAGAGACAGAGAAGCAAAGGTAAACAAACCACACGAGACAAAGAAAGTTATCGTTCATGAACAACCTGTGACTGAACAAACTCTTGCTACAGTAGCCACACTCGAGGAGTCCAGACATGAAAATGAATCCTATACGGAAATCATGAAATCAAAGACCACTTTGGGTCGCAAGCTCAGCATTACCATTAAAAAGGGAACCGTAAAAGCGAATCAGCAGAAATACAACTTGCAGAAGGAAGATGAATACACGAAATGGAAGAAGATGAAAGATCAGAAACGAAGAAGACCTGTATCTCCAAGCAAAGAAGTTGTAGCAGCGTCCGTTCGTCTGCAAAAAAACTCTCTAGAGGGTGCTGCATGCACCTCCAGGCCTAAAACAGAACAATACACACCTGAGGCCCATAGTGTTAGGTCTTCTGGACAGAGCAAGAAGTCCAAAGTGCTGAAGAAAAGTCGGGTTGCGTCTCCAAGACCTGGAAGCGGGGACTCCACTGAAGAAGAAGAAACTCACAGTCCAAAAAGAGTTCGCAGGAAAGTGAGCGTAAAGATCCAGAGAGGCCTGGTCCAGAAGTGCAAGACTCGGTGGGAAACGACTCGTACCAAGCCCGGGTACTGGACGTGGAAACGCACCAGAATGTCCTCATATTCGACTAACCTGCGCAAGCTTCCCTATACGCCAAGAACAGATCATTCTCTAACGGATCTAACACCACCAACTGGGACCCATCTGTCTCCTGTTAGTGCGCAAGAAAATATACAAGCCCCCCTTAGTAGTCTGCTGACTAGACACCACAATCATCAGGGAACAGAAACAGCCCTGGGGAACGCCATTAACTTGCCACAACAGCAAGTTAGAGCCTTGTGGGAGCAGGAGAGGTATATGACCCCCTCTCCTACCCATGAGGTTTCTGAAGGCTACCTCACTCCCGACGAAGCACAGCAGTACCTGAGCGGCATCAAAGGCAACGTAGCGCAGCAGAGGAAGAGATTCGACAGCCTGGGAAGTGTGGTGAGCACGGAGAGTGCCGACAGTCTAGGTAGTGTAGACTACAGACCCGACCTTGACATCTGCAACTCTCCGGTAATTTTAGACAAAGAATACGCCAACTCTGTCGTCGGGAAAGTGAGACGACAAAGGAATATGTGGGAAACCAAGTTCCAAAGGACGCAACAGGAAGACACTAAAGAGCGATCAACGTTACAAGCAAAAAAGGCCACACAAATGGACTTTGCCCAAAGCAGTTCGCTCGACATGTTACCAGCAATGCAAATCACAGAAGTCAAGCCGAGTGGCTTCCCTGCAACACCGAGAGAATCAGAAACCCGACTCTACATCCTCCACAACACTATCGAGGGCGACCTGGTACTCCAGACATACGATGACAGCTACAAGAAGCGCCAAGGCTCGCCACCTAGCGACGACGGCAGCGAAACGGGAGAGGACGAGGCCCCGTCGAAGGAAGAGAAGTGGGACGAGGCGTCGCATCCCATCAGGAGGAAATCCGTCGAAAAGTGCGCGCAGCGCTACAGCTTGGAGGGGACGCTTGACCTCGGTAAGTAGGCCTACCTCCTGCGTCACTTCCTGCTGACCATGTACCTCTGACGTTACTTCATGTTTCCCATTTCCCACTAACTGACGTCACTTCCCGCCCATCATCTCCATCTGACGTCATTTCCTTCCCATCACCCCCTTTCTGACGTCACATCCAGCCCATAACCTGCTCCTGATGTCACTTCCAGCACACAATCTGTTTACATATAAATACATAAAAAGATTTTTTTTTAATCTCTACAAGTCACACTTGTATTCCTTTTCTCTTTCATGGCAGGCAGCCGCCGCGTTCCTCCTGAAGGCGGAGCAGACGAGCAAACCCGGACCAAGGATCTTCAGGAAGCCACAACCATGGATATTTGTGACCGCACATCGAACCTAATGACTCCCTCTGTCCTACAGCCCAAATCTTCTCTCGGAAGCTCTGAGGCCACATTGCCAGGCCTTACTGATGGGGACGGAGGAGGTCTCAGCGCCCCGTGTGAAATAGGTTATGATTATGAGGAATACAAACGAAGTTTTGCTTCTGCTAAACAGCTGTTTGAAACAGGATTGAAAGAAAACGCGTCGGAGCCCCCAGGGGGTACTACTCGAGAGTGTGTTGTCCCTAGGAGCGGTCATCATGATGGTGCTACTAAGGACTTTGTGGAGAGTACTGCTAGTCATATTCAACAGATAATTAAATCCAGTGACGAAAGTACAAATTCTATGTCATCATTAAGCCCTACTCCAGTAAATGATATAATGTCTCCGCAACAAAACAATAGTCAAAGCACAGTCAATCGTAATGTTTCTGAAGTCAAGCGTTTTGATGAAAGATTCGACTCTTTCGAATACGTGGAAAATATATGGGGTGGTAATGAAGAGCAGAACTTAGTGAATATTTCCAAACCAGCTCACTTAACAGACCACGGCTGTCAGACAGACGAAGAACTCGAGGTGTTTGTTCCCCCAAGTTCAGGCGTGAACTTGATCAACGAGAGCTACCAAAGCTTCCTTGAAAAGGAATCTGATAAGCTAAGGATGCGGAAAGACGGATTTCCCCGAGACCAGGAAATTCAGGTGTCTCAGGAAGATTTCGTCAGCCCCTTAAAACGATGCGTGTCTCAAAAGTCTAGACAGTATGACCTGCTGGAAATGCCAGAACTGAAGCGACGCATTTTTAAGCGTCGACGGCGTACTCACGTCTTGGACAGGAAGCGTTCTCTGTCTGGATCTGATGCGCACTTGTTCCAGGGAGAGGAAGGGATAGCTCTTCGATCCTCGAGAACAGTTTATGGAGCGGACCGTGGGTGGTCTGAAGACTCCGAAGTAAACATGGCTAAATCAGGAAAATTTGGTATAGCCAACTCGTCGCCCCTGGTGGCTTCCCTTAAGGACCTGGTTAAGGACCTGCCCTCCGTGTATCCAGAGGGGCAACACGACCCCATGATTCACGACGACCTAGCAGACTTCAACCCCGACGACTTTCTGCAGTTTCCCCAAGATGAGGTCCGTCTGCCGAGACCTTGGGGTTCCTAGTCTTCTCCTCTTCCTTGTAGTAGCGCCCCTTCTTCCATCACGGTAACTTAAACTCTCAATGTAAAGCTTTTTAAAGTATGCTTAAATGTAACTAGCTCATATATTTTATAGATTTACAGTACTGCCAATAACAGGTGAGTTATAGAAGCAGCACTGTGGAGAAATGCCCGACAGACCACTGGAACATTATCTAACACAGTGCACAGTTACAAACCCATTAAGATTTCAACTTAGATTCAACAGAGCAGAAGAAGTTGTTAAACACATATGGCAAAATCTTACTGAAGCGACTATACGAGTCATAAATACTCATACTCCGCCCAAGTAAAACAGAAACAAGCAACACTTAGTGGGCCAGCCAGAGGCTTAGGGTCAACGCAGGAATATCCCTGCAAAAAAAAAAAAATATATATAGAAACATTGTAAACAGAAAATCAAAGTATAGGAGATAAGTCGGAGTCAAGTCATGTCCTTTGCAGGAATAATTACCTAATAATCGTATTTCTAAAATATTTTAATCAAATCAATTACAAATGGATCGGAATGCACAGTCCATTACTAATAATAATTTCACGATTTTGTAAAATATATTTTATCCAGATACGATAATATTTCTATTAAAACAAATCTATTTCAATTAGTAAGTGAACAGAAATTTGTCTAAAATATTTTAGCCAAATGAACAAATAGTTATTTTTTTTAATCGCTAATAACTCATCTCTCAAGTTTTCAATATATAAACATATGAGGGTGAAATCCGAACATATCTGAGTTATATGTGATCTGTGTTATGTATAAAATATTGTCACACAATAAGATGCAGCACAGTGTTATGTACACAGAGATATGTTCCTCACTTATATATATAAGTATATATATATATATATATATATATATATATATATATATATATATATATATATATATATGTCGTACCTAGTAGCCAGAACGCACTTCTCAGCCTACTATGCAAGGCCCGATTTGCCTAATAAGCCAAGTTTTCCTGAATCAATATTTTTCTCTATTTTTTTTCTTATGAAATGATAAAGCTACCCATTTCATTATGTATGAGGTCAATTTTTTTTATTGGAGTTAAAATTACCTTAGATATATGACCGAACCTAACCAACCCTACCTAACCTAACCTAACCCATCTTTATAGGTTAGGTTAGGTTAGGTAGCCGAAAAAGTTACGTTAGGTTAGGTTAGGTAGTCGAAAAACAATTAATTCATGAAAACTTGGCTTATTAGGCAAATCCGGTCTTGCATAGTAGGCTGAGAAGTACGTTCTGGCTACTAGGTACGACATATATATATATATATATATATATATATATATATATATATATATATATATATATGTATATATATATATATATATATATATATATATATGTATATATATATATATATATATATATATATATATATATATATATATATATATATATATATATATATATATATATATATATATATATATATATATATATATATATATATATATATATATATATATAATGTATTCCGATTTCTGGTAAAATGTACATTTTCAGCTGGATTTCGTCCTGAATAAACCAATCTAAGTGAGCACATCTCGGTGAGCTGATCGTTGCATTTAAACAAATAAATCTCATAAATTGTTTAATTATTAAATACTAAGGTAAATAACACCCGAATATCTAAAAGAATTCCAGAGTACAAGAGTATACAGTTTCCTTCGATTAAATATATTCATATCTTTGCAGTCTTTAAAATATGTTGATGTTCGATGTATGTTTACTTTTCAGTATAACCAACCTACAAGTATACTAAAGTATACTTTGCAAGCTGTTCAGTAAGATATTGTGGTGGGTCCAACAACCCTCCAGAGGTTAACGGGCTCAACACCAAGCCCAGATAACGTGTAGCTGCACCAAAGCGAGCTCAACAGTCCGATAATAATACCTCTTAACACTCTTCATGTTCTATTGACATCAGTACGCGAGGAACTTAGGAATGTTAAATTACATCCCAAAGGAACATTATTTTAATTTAAATGAACTGTTGTTATATTTGGGTTCCTGTTGAAGCGTTTTGTGCTTATAGAACACCACAGTTTTCCATCTGCTTGATATTTTAGCAGCGACGCTTGCCTCCCCTCCCCAAAAAGGGGCCTCGTAGCCTGGTGGATAGCGCGCAGGACTCGTAATTCTGTGGCGCGGGTTCGATTCCCGCACGAGGCAGAAACAAATGGGCAAAGTTTCTTTCACCCTGAGTGCCCCTGTTACCTAGCAGTAAATAGGTACCTGGGAGTTAGTCAGCTGTCACGGGCTGCTTCCTGGGGGTGGAGGCCTGGTCGAGGACCGGGCCGCGGGGACACTAAAGCCCCGAAATCATCTCAAGATAACCTCCCCTTGCACAAACTTCAGCGTTTGATATGGAGTCACTCTCGATCTTAGAAGTGGTGGATAATGCACTATCTTATCCCTACAGGTGATCAAGACACTAAGTGGGTGCTACAGGGGCGAGTTTCCCCACGTACCAGTGAGTGGGACACGTTCTTGTCCCATTACCTCCAGGAGGGGACAGGAGGAGCTCATATCCCTGACGGACCTCCGGCGGACCAGTCTCCCAGAGCTGCTGCTACCTCACCCGCTGCCCAGTGACGCCGCTTCTCTCTACAGGGATTGTGAGTCGCCAGTCTACGTCTTCCATAATCCCTTCAGCCATGAGGACCCGGCCGATATAGACCACAGGGAAGACCCGAAGGATGTCTCCTGTCAACACGGAGGGTACTCACATGCCCTCAGGGAAGATCCGAAGGAGGTCTCCTGTCAACACGGAGGGTACTCACATGCCCTCAGGGAAGATCCGAAGGAGGTCTCCTGTCAACACGGAGGGTACTCACATGCCCTCAGGGAAGATCCGAAGGAGGTCTCCTGTCAACACGGAGGGTACTCACATGCCCACAGCAGTGAGAGTCTCGTGTTATCCCTGAACGGTGCCAATTCCTCGTCGGACGGCGGACCTGCGACGTCTGACAGCAGTGACAAGTGTAGCACACAGTCAGATTCCCAGAGGGAAACTGTAAGAGATTCTCGGCGGTCTTTACAAGCTAAAATGACGAACGATTCTGCAATAATGGATGAAGCGAGCATCAATTTTTCTTCGGAAGAGGAGGAGGAGGAGGCAGAAGGGCCAAACGAAAGACAAAATGTGCCAGTTGAAGATAGGGAAGAGAAGGCAGAAGAAGAAGAGAGAGATAGAAGCTCCGGGGAGGAGGAATCACATGGGTGTCTGGCGTATGGAGAAGGTCTTAAGCACGGCACCGTTGGAGGAGTCAACACCTTCATCATCGACACCGTTGGAGCAAGCCAGGGAGAGGTGAGAAGGGCCAGGGCCAGGTGAGAGGGGAAAGGGAGGGGTGAGAGGGCCAGGGTTGTATATAAAGCTAGACTATTTGAGAAAATGCCGACCATTTGGTCACCATTTGGTCCAGGAGACATCTCCCGTCACGCAGGGTGCAGTCGCACCTCCACAAATCTCCAGTATCAGCTCTTGATACTGGTAATGGCTCTAAAGGGCCACCACTTACGGGCTATTCATGCCCGTGCCACCTCCTGGGTGGCTTAATCTTCATCAATCAATCAATCGAGAAAATGCACCGCTCCTGTGCCAGGTAAGTCCACTACGGGCTCACCATAGCCCGTGCTACTTGGAACTTGTTCCGAGTAGCTGAATCTATAACAACAACATGAGCAAATGTCCGAGAAAATGTCAAAAAAATGAAAATGGGGGTTTACGGGCTATTCATGCCCGTGCCATCTCTTGGGTGGCTTAATCTTTATCAATCAATCAATCGAGAAACTGTCAATATCACGGCGTTTTCAATTTCTCTAAAACCCCGGAATGTTAACAAATGTCGATAGCAATTCATCTGCAGGGCAATTAATATGAGGATAGGTTGCCAATTAATCACACTAAAGATAGCACTTTATCATTTATTTATTTATTTTTTTATTTATATACAAGAAGGTACATTGGGTTTGTGAGAATACATAGCATAGTATTTACAATCTTGTAAAGCCACTAGTACGCGCAGCGTTTCGGGCAGGTCCTTAATCTAACACATAAATTTAAGTAGTTAAATTCTAGCAGAATTAATAAAATGATAACTAAAAATAATCATGATAACTACTATCTTGTTTCAGGTGACTGTGAGCGTGGAAGGGCCCTACGAGGATTGCGTCTCGGCTACTGAGGTCTACCCGTTGGAAGAGGCGCCCGGGGTGTACCAGGTCCACTTCTGGGTCACCACTCCGGCACGCTACCAGGTTCTCGTTACCTGGGCGGGGCGACACCTGCCTGGTAGCCCCTTCACCTGTGTCGTTGAGTGATGATTGGACCTTAACCTGTCTCGAGTGACGGGTGGACCTTCACTTGGGTCATTGAGTGACAGGTGACCCTCCACCTGGGTCATTGAGTGAGAGGTGGACCTCCACCTGGGTCATTGAGTGACGGGTGAACCTCCACCTGGGTCATTGAGTGAGAGGTGGACCTCCACCTGGGTCATTGAGTGAGAGGTGGACCTCCACCTGGGTCATTGAGTGACGGGTGAACCTCCACCTGGGTCATTGAGTGAGAGGTGGACCTCCACCTGGGTCATTGAGTGAGAGGTGGACCTCCACCTGGGTCATTGAGTGACGGGTGAACCTCCACCTGGGTCATTGAGTGAGAGGTGGACCTACACTTGGGTCATTGAGTGACAGGTGACCCTCCACCTGGGTCATTGAGTGACGGGTGGACCTCCACCTGGGTCATTGAGTGACAGGTGGACCTCCACCTGGGTCATTGAGTGACAGGTGGACCTCCACCTGGGTCATTGAGTGACAAGTGGACCTCCATCTGGGTCATTGAGTGACAGGTGGACCTCCACCTGGGTCATTGAGTGACAAGTGGACCTCCACCTGGGTCATTGAGTGACAGGTGGACCTTCACTTGGGTCATTGAGTGACAGGTGGACCTCCACCTGGGTCATTGAGTGACAGGTGACCCTCCACCTGGGTCATTGAGTGACGGGTGGACCTCCACCTGGGTCATTGAGTGACAGGTGGACCTCCACCTGGGTCATTGAGTGACAGGTGGACCTCCACCTGGGTCATTGAGTGACAAGTGGACCTCCATCTGGGTCATTGAGTGACAGGTGGACCTCCACCTGGGTCATTGAGTGACAAGTGGACCTCCACCTGGGTCATTGAGTGACAGGTGGACCTTCACTTGGGTCATTGAGTGACAGGTGGACCTCCACCTGGGTCATTGAGTGACAGGTGGACCTTCACTTGGGTCATTGAGTGACAGGTGGACCTCCACCTGGGTCATTGAGTGACAGGTGGACCTACACTTGGGTCATTGAGTGACAGGTGGACCTCCACCTGGGTCATTGAGTGACAGGTGGACCTCCACCTGGGTCATTGAGTGACAGGTGGACCTACACTTGGGTCATTGAGTGACAGGTGGACCTCCACCTGGGTCATTGAGTGACAGGTGGACCTACACTTGGGTCATTGAGTGACAGGTGGACCTCCACCTGGGTCATTGAGTGACAGGTGGACCTCCACCTGGGTCATTGAGTGACAAGTGGACCTCCACCTGCGTCATTGAGTGATAAATGACTCATCTGTACTGCTGAGGAGACTAACGGCCATTTGATGTATTCCATCGAGTGATTAATATATTCACCTGTGTAATTAACCATTCCGCCTCGTTGTCAAGAGACTGGCATGAATTTATGCAAATTAAAAACAGTAAAAATGTCCCTCAAAGCGACCACAATAAAAAAAATACTTAACAATGGGCGCTGAAGCAGAAACAACCTCCCCCCCCCCAAAAAAAAAATAATAACCGCGTCCCCTTGGCTAGAGCCGGGCCCGAGAACTAGACTCCAGTGTGCAATGTCGTGGAAACCGAACCATTATGGGTGCGCAATTTTCAAGTATTCATTTCAAAGAATTCCTATGATGGAAAAAAATAGGTTAGTAATGCCCTAACGCCATATACGTAAAGTTACCCGTATGTCATCAGTACATCTTAATATCTGTATCTATGAACAATATTATTCTATACTATTTATAATTAATAAAGTTTAGCGATGAATTCTAAGATTGATATCAAGTGTGTCTTCAATTAATGTGCATTACGTAAAATACTAAATGGTAAGTGCTTTATATTATAATGGCTTGAAAATGTTTTTGCTGTACATTTGTTTAATACAAGCATACACATGTATTCACTCACAGACACATAATGTATGTGTATATATATATATATATATATATATATATATATATATATATATATATATATATATATATATATATCCAGAATAACCACATGTGAAAAATAGAAAATGCTTAACGCGTTTTCGGCTAATTCGCCTTCATCAGAGCAAAGTAGAATCCTTTGTAGATTCTACTTTGCTCTGATGAAGGCGAATTAGCCGAAAACGCGTTAAGCATTTTCTATTTTTCACATGTGGTTCTTCTGCATACTTGGATCAGTGTTTTTGTGATCATTGTTGCATATATATATATATATATATATATATATATATATATATATATATATATATATATATATATATATATATATATATATATATATATATATATATATATATATATATATATATACACACACGTGTGTTTCACAGGAATATAGAGGCTAATAGAGGGCTGAACACTAGAGAGGAGCCAAGATAGAGAGCGAGAGAGACGGGTAGACGTGAGACAGGGCGTTGTGAGGTAGATATATAAGTAATCAGTGGTTACCTATATACGTGTACGCGTTAGGACATTGTTATATATATCGCGTCTCGTAGATATTAATTCATTCGTTTTCTTCCAAGACGCCAGCCCAACCGCTTGTGCTGGACGGTAGAGCGATGTTCTCACTTCATGCAGGTCGGCGTTCAATCCCCGACCGTCCACAAGAGGTTGGGGCACCATTCCTTCCCTCCGTCCCATCCCAAATCCTTTTCCTGATCCCTTCCAAGTGATATATAGTCGTGATGGCTTGGTGCTTTACTACTAGGTGGACAGGTGCATTAGGTGATAGGAAACGCGCCCAACAATTTACCCATTTTAATATTATGTATGAATCTGACCTTGTTAATATTATAATTTATTATGTATGAAAATATCGTTAATATTGTGAATGAATCTAACCATGTTAAATATTATGAATAAATCTAACCATGAATCTAGCCATGTTAATATGATGTTATAAAACCAGCCTGTCCCCGCATACAAAGATCTAAGCTCGTTAATCCAGCCGCCAAACCCCTTGTTTATGAGTGAAAAGCAGTGTATACACGACTCTCAACTGCTGACGTTCGAACACTTCCGGAACAAGTGCTTCGCTCACGTCCTCTGTTCGAACCACAATTCTATAAACAGCCCGTCCTCCAAACAAAGATCCAAAAGTGATTCCATGCACCCGCCAAACCCCCTGTTTATGAATGAAAAGCGGTTTACACACGACTCACAACTGCTGACGTTCGAACATATCCGGAACAAGTGTTTCACTGACGAATTTTGTTCGAACCACAACGCTGTAAATGCTTCACCCACGTACTACAAATACAAATAATCGCCAACAGAACCTAAACACCTAACCTAACCTATGCCTATATATACACAATATGCTAATATATTATAATATTAATTTATACTTGAGAAAATTCCCGTTTTGAGTGAACAGTATGTTAAAATTTATGAATGCGTCTGTGGGGTTGACCGCTGGATGTAATGGACTTGAGTCGAGGACGGGTTGAAATGCTTCACCCACGTACTTCAAATACAAATAATCGCCAACGGAACCTAAACACCTAACCTAACCTAACCTAACCTAACCTAACCTAACCTACGCCTAACTACACATATAAGTGTTATGTATAATAATATTAATTTATATATGAGAACAAACCTACTTTTAATACACAGTATGTTAAAAGTGATGAATGCATCTGGGAAGGACGGGCCGCTGCTTTAACCAGCCTATCTGCAGAATCGAGCTATTAGCCTTTCAAAACCAATTTAATTTTCCTTTTATTATGTCTACTATATATATTTCTTTCTGACACACACACACACACACACACACACACACACACACACACACACACACACACACACACACACACACCCAGGAAGCAGCCCGTAGCAACTGTCTAACTCCCAGGTACCTATTGACTGCTAGGTGAACAGGTGCATCAGGATGAAAGTAATTCTGCCTCCGCCGACGGGGACAGAATCCAGGGGGCCTTAGGACTACGACCCCAGAGCGCTGTTTACTCAGCCGCGAGGCCCAGCGAGGGTGTGTGTGTGTGTGCGTGTGTGTGATAGTATACTATCTATAAATATTTACAAACAAACAATGACTATAAATAAGATAACTGCACTATCATTATCAATAAGAAATATACTGATAAGCAAGAGTGATTAATAATAACCGCAAGAATTTTAAATTGATAAAAAGGGTTATTAATTATTTTTCATTACATTCAATAAATTACTTTAAAAAAAATTATCTTAATTTTCTTATTATTTCATACTTTAAATCTTGTTTTCATACCAATATTGCGTATGCCCGTCGGCCGAGCGGACAGCACGCTTGGCTTGTGATCCTGTGGTCCTGGGTTCGATCCCAGGCGCCGGCGAGAAACAATGGGCAGAGTTTCTTTCACCCTATGCCCCTGTTACCTAGCAGTAAAATAGGTACCTGGGTGTTAGTCAGCTGTCACGGGCTGCTTCCTGGGGGTGGAGGCCTGGTCGAGGACCGGGCCGCGGGGACACTAAAAAGCCCCGAAATCATCTCAAGATGCTATTTATTTCACTATTAATTCCCTTTTTCACGAGTTCAGCAATCTGTGAAAACCCATTTAAATCAACCAATTAAAAATTCAATTATCATAGCAATTACTTGGCTTTCACAGATAGATATCTATTTAAGTAAGCAACATACCTAATGAGTTACTAACTAATCCATCAAAACAATTAAACGAAATTAAAAAAATGCAATAAAGTAATTGGGTAATTATCAAAAGAAGGGAGACGATGTAGAACAATGAAATAAAGAAAAAACATATAAATTGTCTCAAAAATAAATAAATATGTTTAGTAATTCCAGATCTTAGTGGCCACACCACCAGTCGTCAGCAGAGAACCGTCACCTCGCCGAAATCGTCATTTTTCGCAAAACTCAAAATCAAAACCAGCCATAGAATCACTTTGAAAACATGACCATTGGATTTACCACATTCATTTACATTTCTTTTAGTAAAGATTTTCTTTGCTAATATTGAATATCAAAGCAATTAGAGCAATATTTAACGTGATACAGCCATCCAAAGTATGCAACAAATCATGTTGTTTTCTCAAGATATGTTAGAGAAAATTTGGTAGAAGAGCATGTAATAATAATCTAAATAAGCTTAACTAAAAATGGATAATAATAAAAACAGATATATCTTTATTTCAACTTTATTAGAGATTATTTTATTTCGTCACATTCCTTCTGCACCTGAAGAAATAATTGGTACCCAGGAACAATCTGGGTACCCAAGTTCTGCCTGGAACAATTTGGGGACCCAAAGAGCCTTCGTGGAACAATCTGGGGACACAACAACCCCCCTGAATGAATCTGCGGACCCAAAGATTCTCCTATAACAATCTGGGGACTTAAAGACCCTCCCAGAACAATTCGAGGGCCCAAAGACTCTCTTTTAACAATATGGGGACCCAAAGACCCCCTGAAACAACCTGCGATCCCCTAGAACTTTTCTGGCATAATCTGCGGGCCCAGGAACCCCTTGGAACAATTTGGGGACCCAAGGACCCTTTTTGGAATCATCTGAGCACTCAAGTACCCCCCTGGAACAATCCTCGACCCCAAGAACCCCCTGGAACAATCTGCGGACCCAAGGACCCATTTGGAATCATCTGAGGACCCAAGGATCCCATTTGGAACAATGTGCGGTCCGAACGACATCCTGGAACAATTTGCAAACTCAAAGATCCCCCTGGAACAATCTGCAGACCCAAAGACCTCCTGGAACAATCTGCGGACCCAAGGACCCCCCTTGATCAATCAAGGGACCCAATTACCCCCTGGATCAATCTAGGGACCCAATGACCACCTGGATCAATCTAGGGACCCAATGACCACCTGGATCAATCTAGGGACCCAATGACCACCTGGATCAATCTAGGGACCCAATGACCACCTGGATCAATCTAGGGACCCAATGACCCCCAGGATCAATTCTAAGCTATAGTTTGGCACCTTAATATAGGAGCTTAATAAACCAAGCAATATAACCAATAAGTTAATGAATTAATAAACCATTTAGTAAAAATACTGAAGAAATATTGGCAGGAAAGTTCGTGCCTTCAGGCCACAATTACTGGCCACACCACCAGTCGTCAGCAGAGAACCGTCACCTCGCCGAAATCGTCATTTTTCGCAAAACTCAAAATCAAAACCAGCCATAGAATCACTTTGAAAACATGACCATTGGATTTACCACATTCATTTACATTTCTTTTAGTAAAGGTTTTCTTTGCTAATATTGAATATCAAAGCAATTAGAGCAATATTTAACGTGATACAGCCATCCAAAGTATGCAACAAATCATGTTGTTTTCTCAAGATATGTTAGAGAAAATTTGGTAGAAGAGCATGTAATAATAATCTAAATAAGCTTAACTAAAAATGGATAATAATAAAAACAGATATATCTTTATTTCAACTTTATTAGAGATTATTTTATTTCGTCACATTCCTTCTGCACCTGAAGAAATAATTGGTACCCAGGAACAATCTGGGTACCCAAGTTCTGCCTGGAACAATTTGGGGACCCAAAGAGCCTTCGTGGAACAATCTGGGGACACAACAACCCCCCTGAATGAATCTGCGGACCCAAAGATTCTCCTATAACAATCTGGGGACTTAAAGACCCTCCCAGAACAATTCGAGGGCCCAAAGACTCTCTTTTAACAATATGGGGACCCAAAGACCCCCTGAAACAACCTGCGATCCCCTAGAACTTTTCTGGCATAATCTGCGGGCCCAGGAACCCCTTGGAACAATTTGGGGACCCAAGGACCCTTTTTGGAATCATCTGAGCACTCAAGTACCCCCCTGGAACAATCCTCGACCCCAAGAACCCCCTGGAACAATCTGCGGACCCAAGGACCCATTTGGAATCATCTGAGGACCCAAGGATCCCATTTGGA